ATCAATCAGCTGGTATGTATGGAAACTAATTATTCGTTAAATGGAACATGTTCAATTAAAAAATTATTATTTATTTACTTCGCTTTGACTTGTTTTTAATGTAATACAGTAGATTAGACAATCTGATTTTTCATTGATGCGTGGATATAATGGAATTAAACGATGTCTAGGGAAAACAAATGTGAATTATTTGATCAAATTGACAAATTTAGGTATTGGAGGGTTATAAAAAATGTTTACTTAAAAAGCAAGAGACTGAATCCTTACAAGTATTTCTTGTTGGTATTCATGGTGACACACGTGCTCTAACACACAAAGAATGATGGAATTTAAAAATTCACATTTCATTATTTCCACTTATGTGTAGTATTACAACAAGACTGTGATGATACTGATTTACTGGTTTTGAGAATAGTACAATGTAGTAAGAAACTTGATAGGTTTATCGACAGTCTGAAAATATAGTCGGATAGTGTTAATACGTGTTTATATATTAATGTTAATTATCGTATTGAAAACACCTAAATGTATTACGCTGGAGATTAACGAGGATGGATGATAGTCTACATAAATAGTTGTATCAGTTGATAGTGATGTGAAGTAGCAATCAATATTATCGGTTTTACTCCACTCATAGAATTATAACAATTTGATAGATTCTACGAGATAATTAATATTATATGATATATTGACGGATAGACACAGGTTTTGTAATTATAAAACTGTACCATTCACTAGTCCATTGATATCTAGATAAAAAAGAACCACAATTATTGGTTAATTTTAGGCTTGAGTAGTCTTCTATTACAAACCATTATCTGTGTTCCATTCAATAGTCCATCGATATTAAGGTCAAGAAGGACCATGATTATTTGTTTGTCATCGGTTGGAGTAAAATCTACTATAACGTACTATTAACTGTGTTCCATTCACAAGCCCATTGATATCAAGATAAAAAAGAATCACGATTATTGGTTTATTCTAGGTCTGAGTATTACTGCAGACAGATAAAACCACGACAGCATTTTATCGATAGAATCACTAATTTGCCAATCTAACGAAATCAGAACGGTTGACGAAAGTTTAACAATATTGTTAAACAAAAACGAATCACAAATACGAAAAAACATATTAAAGGACTCATATTTTATTTATAAAAAAATGAAAAACTGTTCATAACCTATTAAAACATGGTACCTTATTTACATCTGTCAGTCCGAAAGCAGTAGATGGCGCCACTGTGGCGTCACTAACTACGCCTACACAATAGTTCCAAAAGCAATATTTTTATTTACTTCTAACCTAACAAAAAAAAAAACAAAAAAACAAAAAACAAGCAAAAATGTTTGGCGTTTACAAATAGATGTTTTTGATAATGTCATATAATATTTAGGGATGTAATCAAATTTCAGGCACCTACACACAATGTATGAAGCGACAAGACAATATATTATCACGCAAGCCTAACTACAGATGGTAATCGCGATAATTACTGTTTATTAAGTATGGTTCATTTAGAGGTTATGCTATGTAAGTGTAATTGTTAGTAAGCAAAACCAGTATTAATAGAATATCATCTGTGTAAATATAGTAAGGAAGTGACAACAAATCTTCCCAGTGCATTTAAAAGATTCTGGTTTTAAGACCCCAGTATAAATACAAAGCATTCGGAAAGGTTAGGTTTGATATTTTTATGAAGATGTTTATCTTTAGCAAAAACTGCGATTGAAAAATATATTCTTTTGTGGAGATACTAAAAAGCACGAGGATACAATGTACATGTGTACAGACGTTAAATGTTGTGTTGGTACATGAACTTGCAAAGTTGTCACTTTAAATACAAAAGTTATGATATTAACATCAAAATTAAGAGGCATTAATCGCAATTGCCCAATGGAAGGTAAAGTGTAGCTGGTAACATCCATTGAAGAAACCAGATTCACTAGACAATTTGTATTACTTTTCCCAAATCAATTAGTGCGGTAATACAGTAATTCATTGGCAAACACTCCTTCATCATAATGCTCGTTCAAGCTGTCAAATCTAATGGATATATTTCTTAAATCATGTTTGTCAATTTAGTTAATAGGCTATTAAATGGTGAACGTGTCGTAATCAGTTTTGGTTAAATACGTCTAGGGAAGGGAAATACCGGCTACTGAGAGACTGCAAAGGGTATCTCGTTTATGTATTGGGAACAGCAGAAATATCCATTTACTGCATGGTCAGCTATGGAAAAATGGAAGGACATTTTGATACTATCATGCTTTTGCCTGATGATAAGTATATATATACTCTAGGCCCTTAGCATCACTGACGAGTCCTAGAAGGACGAAATAGATGTACAGTTTGACTCTACTGTATCTGGCTACACACTTATGTATCTTTTGTACAATTTTTGATAAATCATATGACAGACGTTTTGCGTCATCTATTTAGAACTAGGGTGTCATTTTGATGTCATATTAACTGTATTTGGTGTTTCCTCTTCTGTAGGATGTCCGAACCCAGAAGCTGTCGACCTCGGGCTGGTTTACACTGGTACGTGATTATTGTTTATCTAAAGCACGCGCATCATCTCATATCTAAGGCATTTTATTGCAACAAGCTTATATGTAAAATAATATGTGAAAATACAGAATGGTAAAACAAAACTAATGAAGTATTATTTCTATACCAGTCACGTCTACAATGAATAAAGAAATAAAGAGAAGGTAGAAACTATCTTAATGCTGTAGGATAAAGATACTTTTGGGGAATGTTGCAGTGTTTCATTCTTAAGGCTATAAAATACAATAAACACCGTTACCGCACTTATTGGATACACAATTATGCATATTCGTTTATTTATAATATATAGTAATTTTACCCTTCATCATAATAAAACCGTTATTGACCACGCTTATTGCACACACAATTATGCATATTCGCCTCTCTGTAATATACTGTAATTTTACGCTCTTATATGTTTTTTACTGTTGTTGGCTTTGGAAATTGTAATCGACCAGGCCAACACGTGGCAAAAAATCCATACCAAACGGTCGTAATATGTAAATATTGAAGCAGGCATCAATCATCTACCTATATATTTTTAATAGTTCATATCCATACAAACTGTTGCCTACCCGTCTCCGACTGATTTTATCGAAAAGATAATAGTCCCTGGATGATCTTATACAGCATTAGTTTTATGTGAATTGATGATTAATATCTATTCAATGACAATTGTTAATTTTAGTTGAATATATAATAACGGTTGCTCAAGGTCCTTATAGTATCAATTTTCATAGTGATGATTTCAACACAACTTAATCAATTCCAATCAAAAATGGCGATAATTTTGTATTTTTATATAATTTCTGTCATACCGTTTTTAAAACGACTGACTTAATGTCTCTTCGGAGCATATTAGATCAGGCGATATTTTGTTTTTTTGTTGTTTTTTTTCAGACTTGGATAGATCAACGTTTCAATTGGTCAAGCACTAGTTATGTCAATATGCCGGATGCCTACTTTCATGAAGACAACATCTGGCTACCCCAGATCGTCATTGACAATACGTAAGTGATTGTCAGTTACTTAGACTATATATAGTTATACTGACAGGATTCAGAATATTCACACGTGCTAAGTGTTCTCAAAGAAGAAAAAGGTAAAAAGATGAAACAAGGACAAAATATGACCTAAAAACAACAGGAACTCCTAAATAAGTACAATGATAATCAGAACAGGTGTTTCGGGAGGGTAAGCGTCTTATGAATTATTTGGTTCATGTTAATATTGGCCAATCCAAGTAAGCAATGTCAAGTTCCCAAATAAAAATAACAAATACAAATTGCACCCAACACGCCTAGCGCCATATCGCACAAGGAAAACGAGTACAAAAAAGAATAAATAGAAGACCTTAACCTTGTCCATATTCTTAATCAACGAGCATTTCTGGACAATCTGTGTTGTAAGCAATATTTCCAATTAAATAAAACTGGTATAATCACAGCCTTCCATCTGAATTTGGGCATTTTAAATCCGATTTTGATTTTACTAACTTTTCACACATTAAACTGTTTGATTAATTTTAGGTCACATCGTGTATACTACAAAGGCATTATCCATTTGTGTGTTCAACTGCAAGAAAAGGCGTGTTTGCCTTTTGTGTTGTTTAGACAACAGTTCCTATCGATATTTTCAGTTACAGTATAACGTTTGTATTGATGTAGTTTGGTATTATTTACTTCAAGATCAGGTCCGCCTGATTATTGTCGCATTCGCATATTATTGACTTTTCCCATTTGAACCATTTAGATGCTTTCCCAAGTAGTATGCTCTCTGATCACGTGATATCATTGTAGGAAAAGATACGATGTATACAGTCGATCAGCAATTGTATATATGAATAATATAATGATAATGATATACAAATATTTTAAAAAAAAAATATATTACCTGTGAACCTGAAGACTTTATTGGTAACGGAAGACAAATGCATTTGTTTTGCTTTCAAAGTTTTGATAAAGCATATACATTTTTAAAAAATGTTCTTCATAGTAATCCATGAAAGAAAAAGAAGAAAAAATCTTAAGTAGACATTAGCTGGTAATTTATATGAACAGTGAGAGATAATTGAATAGTTTAAAAGAAATGCAGGAACTATTCATTAATACCTTTCAGATTTAATCAAATATCTGCAATGGCTGGCTCAAATCTTTTGGTACGTGTGACGCCAGAAGGACTAGTAACATGGGAACCACCGGGCTTATATAATACACACTGCGCCGTCGACACCACTTGGTTTCCATTCGATGTGCAGACATGTATACTGTCGGTATGTATATCATATCAGTCCGTATCGGTATGTAAACGATGTGTCTCTTTGTGGTATATATTGAAACCCTTTCGTACCATAATGATAAGTGTAGAAAATGGCTATTATTTATGTGTAGTCATTGGTGTGCTGAAACTTTATATCCGAGTGTTAATAAAAGTAAAAGGCTCTTGTCAGGATGGTTGTCAAGAGGGACACTGAGAGTGATAAAAATTGTAGAAGAAGAAGAACAAACAAGAAACGAAGGAAAATTAATGTTCTAAGTAGGAAACAAAGGGAAAGATTGAAGTCCCAAGTAGCTACAAAGGAAAAGATTGATATCCCAAGTAGGAAACAAAGGGAAAGATTGATGTCCCAAGTAGCTACAAAGGGAAAGATTGATGTCACAAGTAGCTACAAAGGGAAAGATTAATGTCCCAAGTAGCTACAAAGGGAAAGATTGATGTCCCAAGTAGCTACAAAGGGAAAGATTGATGTCCCAAGTAGCTACAAAGGGAAAGATTGATGTCCCATGTAGCTACAAAGGGAAAGATTGATGTCCCAAGTAGGAAGCAAATGGAAAGATTGATGTCCCAAGTAGAAAACAATGAAAAATATTGAAGTCACAAGTAGGAAACGGAAGGACAGATCTAAGCCCAAAATAGAAAACGAATGAAAAGACTGATGACCCAAAAATGAAACGAAACCAAGGATCGATGTCCCAGATGTTTCAATGGAACAACATGTCTATTTTGGTGTCTTTATTGTAGTACAAGACAACAAAGAAAACATTCGATTCTGCATGTGATAAACTTTTAGTCGCCTCCTACGATCATAAAGATGAACAAAGCAGACCATATTCTAAGGTTCTCCAATATGCACAAAGAAGGTGACGTTTGTGACATCATTATGTCCTGCAAGAGCAATTTGTCGCCTATAATGACATGCAGAGAAAAACATCAGGGATATTCTGTCTCCGCTCCTGCACTGGTGCAGGTGGACTTTAAGTCCCCGAGGTCAGCCATTACCTGCTTGCCACGTTTTAATTCACTCAAATAGTGGCACGGTTCAGAAAATACACATGTACTTGACGCTTTTCTAAAATTACCTTCTATATGAAAATAACGAATTTTATCTGATAATAGGACTGTTGCATCCCCCCGTCTTGATTTTGATTTTGATCACTTTGGATTTCCTTAGTCGCTTCCAAGGTTTCAAACTTCTAACATCACTGAAGAGTCCTAGAATGACGAACCACTTGCATGATGCAGTTTAATTCATTGTTTGGCTCCAATGAACCCCACTTTAATTGATCAAAAGCTGTTTTTCACTTGTGTGTCTTTTGACCATCTTTGTATGGATATTGCGCAGTGTCCTGTATGATATACCTCTTTCTATTTTGTCTGCGCGCGCATTCAGTAACAATATTTATGTAAAGATGTACCACACCAATGTTGTGCCTTTTCTATGCCAGTATATACGTAACGGTGTGCCAGATTGACCTTATGTTAAGACATACACACCAATTTGAATCCAAATGATGACTTGAACCAAAGAATAACATATGACTAAAGTTTAAACAAAGAGAGAAAAATAAGGAAATTTGCCATTATTGAAACAATGAATGTGTATTAATTAAATTTCATGTTTCTTGTCTTTCAGATATCAGGATGGCCATATAATACAGATGATATAAACTTAACACACAAGTTTCCATATATCACAACAAATGATTATCAATTGAACGGAGAATGGCTGCTTTCCAGCACGTATGTTTTATCCGTGGTAGAGGACGGTCAGAGACGTCTTAATTTCGTTATGCAACTGGAAAGACTTTCTGCTTTCTACACCATGAATGTTATCGTTCCTATTCTGATGACGTCACTCCTAACACCGATGGTGTTCAAGCTTCCTTCAGAATCTGGAGAACGGGTTTCCTTTATCTTGACGGTCCTTCTTGCTTTAGAAGTCCTGTTGACTGTTGTGTCCGCAAACATGCCAGCAACTTCACTTCATACATCAGTCATGGGTAAGATTTCAACAGAATACTGTATAACCTGAGATATTCGTGGTTACTCAACTATTTATTTAAAACATTGATACGTATAGTGCTATCATTTGAAATCTTATCAATTCGTTTAATTTTAAGCTCACAATCTGATAATGGTCCGTGTTCCGTCGTCCGTCCTTAAAAAACTGTTATCGTTATTTCTTGAGAAGTATTGTATGGGTCATTCCTAAATTTCATTCGTAAGTTCCCTCTGGTACCCAGTTTTTCCCGTTTGATTTTGGAGCTGATCAGAAAAACCAAAATGACTGAAAAGCAACCATCCTGATTTTTGATGATGAAATATTGTTATTGCTATTTCTTGAGAAGTACCGGCTTGATCTCACTCATATTTCCGGTGTTATTATATTAACTATTATGTAACGAATGCAATATTTTACATTTTTTGATGGACAGTGATGCCTTTCAGTTATTTTTGGTATTTTATTCTTGTATCGTGTATACAAATGTATCTATTAGTTTTCTTTTCTTCTGTCATGATTCCTATCTTTCATTTCTCTTTTTGGTGTGCCCAACTGTTTAAATGTATCGGGAAAATCTATATATCTGTATTTGTTGTCATGTGATGCCGTTTGTTTAACCTCGCTGCCTTCACCGTTATTACAGAAGTTTACCTGGTGGTGGTATTGAGTATATCAGCCCTGGCAGTGCTACTGACGTCTCTAGTGCTGAAGCTGTACCACAGAGGGGATGACACAGATCTTCCAAAAGCGATCAGGATAGTACTTCATTCTCGAAAACATTTACGAAGACAACAGCTTGTGAAAAGCACGAATGAAGAGACGGGGCTTGATATGGGCAAAATGAAAGCTAGAGAGTGTCATGAAAACGAAGACGTCTCATCGCAAGGTATTCAAAAACTTAAAAACAATTATGTGTCAGAGGAATTTGATGGACTTGAGACTATGAAGTCTCGTGGAAAGATCACTTGTCAAGAATTGAGTATTCGTCTAGATGAAATTTTATTTTGGGTGTTTTTGTGTCTCACTGTGGTGAGCACCTTTATCTTTATGTTAACCATGGCGTTAGGAGGACCCTAGATTCTTCATTAAAGTATAAAGGAAATAGTAGCTTTGATGTGGATACCATGTAAAAATACGATTTATGTTTTTCAAAAATGGCTTAGCAAGTACGTTTGTATTAACAAATTACTCTTGTTGGTGTCGGTAAAATGCGATAATAAGTCGCAAGTGTAAAATCAATTATCAATATTTGTATAGTGCTGTTTATCCTATGCATTCAACCATTTTTATTTGAATAAATAACGATATCAACTCCAATCATTATTTGAATTATTTGAGATCAAATACTGAATACCGTTGAAGTACCCATCGGTCATAATAAGACTAGAATAATAGATTAGACGGGTTTCATTTGTTGTAACGTCAGTGAACATCATATCCTGAGGTTCTGTTTACATTTATCGAATGATAATCACGTGTTTATATTGATACACTAGTAATCAATTACAGACTAGTTCACGTGATACAATGTTAACTGAACTTATTCAATAATAATCATATGGATTTCCCTTGGGAAATATCTCTGTTATACAGGCGAATATTTTATTGATACTCGTAGAAAATACGATGATGTGGTGATATCAAACTGTTAGAAAAATGAAACACAACTTGAACTTTGTATAGACTGTATTCAAATGGGATAAGTGGAATAAATTGCATGCTAAATGGAATTTTCATTTTTACAACAATTGCAATTATAAAATTGAAGTCTAGTTAGTGCATTTGTGTTTTACCTCTAGTGACTAAATATATAGGAATTAGAACCAAAAAAAAATCGCACAAAACAGAATAGAATGCGTTAGAGAAAGCTTAAAACGCCTGATGTTAATGATAAAAAGTATTTCATTCACACCAGTGAAGTTATCTTTAAAAAGGTCTGATATGATAATGTAAACGATAATGACACTATTATGCACTAAAACAAGTTGTACTTCAGATCTACTTTAAAGAAAGCCGTTAAAGTACTAAGTTACTGTATAGGTTATCAAATAGACTTAATTCCCTTGATCAAAACTTCTGGTTTCCGAGATTCGGACGAGCAGCCGAAAATGAGTCTTATTAGTTGAGTGTCAGGTCATTCAGCTCGATCTGTGTGATCAGTGGGAATTGGTTATAAGGATCTCTGATAGTTTTTCATTGTCATGATGTGTTTTATGTGACGTATAATCGGGTTAATTGACTTGAAATGATAACCTTTATTTCGAGCATTACCGAGGTCTGAAATCGTTACCCGGGGTTATAATTTATGGTAATGACAAAATCTAGAGCTTATATAATTTCGTGATAAAGTAGAAGCCATGAAAATGAGTGATAAAGGAAAACCGGAGGTAAACCACCATTATCGGCCAGTACCTGGAGACTGCCCCACGTAAGTATCGAACCTGCGACATAGAGGTGGAGGGCTGTTATATAGACGGTTAGATGCCTTAACCACTAGACCAGCGCGATCCAAAGTAGTAGTTGTATGATCTATCAAACTATCTTACAACAAAGTCGCAAGTTATGTACACATTCTCATTTCTGAAACGACATTCTGAGGAAATACATTCGGACTATATACAAAAATATACATCTGGATGACGTGTTTTGACTTATAATTTATAACTAACATTAACTTTACTTTAACATTTCTATGAAACAGGTTATATTTTGATGAGTGCAACTTTGATGTTTATGTTAATAACATTGTACTTCATCAATTTTCTGATGAAGCTCAAGAAAATGAATAACAAAAACTTCTCAAAACACAAAATAGAACAAAAAAAGCTAAGAAAAATAATAACGAAAAAATGGGAGCAAATCGATTTGGATGATTATTTAATTATCATAAAAGGATGAAGCGAGTATAGTGGAATACGGAAGGCAGAACGGTAATGAAACGTTATGATGAAGCAAGTCAAATAACATTTTCTCTTGTGTCGAGATTTCCTATTGGATGCATCGCTTTTTCCTCCTCCGGTAACTCATTTGTGGTATCGTTAGGCTGTCTATAGAAATACTGAGCCAGAAAATAACATACAATACTGAAAGACTTCACTAAACACCACCATATAAAAATCCGGATTCCCATATCAGATTTTTCGTATATCCAACAACTTCCGGTTTCACCGCAAACATCTTGCCAAACTTTGCATGCACTGTCAATAATATATCCAAGCATAAGCGGTCCTGGAGTTGTTCCTGAAAAAATAAACATTGTTTGTTGAAAAAATATATACATTTCTATATGTATCATGTTATGTTTCTTTTATTTAAAAGGACATTTTTTCGTTCAACGTCAGAAATATTCTACGTTATTTTTTTTCTCAAATAATATGTCAAAATGAGGATCATTCAAATGCATGTGCTTGGCCATGATAAACTAAGGATTGTCTGAACTGTATCTTTATTAGTCGGTTCTTGAATATGTCACGATTTCTGAATTGGCTTCATTTTGATATCACGTGACATCGATCACAGACATGGCACAACATAGGACTTCCCCACCCACAACCAAGTGTTTCATGTAAAGAAAAATTCATGGTTAAAAATCAGCTCAGATTATGGTAAAGACATAATACCGTAATTTAAAGTTGATTGAAACTTCGAGTATAACGTCGGCTCCATTTGCAGTCTGTTATCTTTCAAAAGCTTTACTATATTGCTAAATCGAGTTTTTCAATTGAATTTTTAAGCGATTTAAGCTTTTAAGTGATTTAAGCGATCTTAAGAATTATCTCTTCAGTGAATCGGTGAGCTGCCACTTTGGGTTACTTTCGGACTTTAACTGACAAATTAGTGTAAGTTAAAAACTTTCACTTCTTAAGAAAAACAATATTTTTATTTCAACTACTTAAAATTACTTCAACGACGCACTTCAATGTTGTCTTTCTTTTAATTTGATCATATTGGTTTAACTATATGGAGTCAGAGGAATATTGCTTAGCCTATCATGCATGACTTAACGTGTACACAGAAAATTGTGGTAAAGAAGGTGTACCCAGAAAATCGTGGTAAAGAAGATGTACCCAGAGCATCGTGGTATGAAGGTGTACCCAGAAAATCGTGGTAAAGGTGTACTTAGAAAATCGTAGTAAAGAAGGTGTTCCCAGAAAATCGTGGTAGAGTTGTACCCAGAAAATCGTGGCAGAGATACATTTGCACAGAAAAAATTGTAACATCATTTTTAATGGAAATCTAGAGTTAGATACAGTAGAGTGAAACGATGAATTAAACTACATAATCCAGCTGTTTCGTCGTTCTAGGACTCATCAGAGCATATATTTTAAACCTTCGTGGCTACGGAGATAAATCTAAAAGCGATAGAAAGAAACCATAACATTACAAGTTATTCTAGCACTCAAAGGACCACGAAAAGGTGCGGAGGTCGGGAGAAAGAAGAAACACACGATGAACTTAGAAAAAAACATTTAAGGAAAACAAGACTATATTTTTTGCTTCCTAAATCAGAAAAATAACCCTATGTCTCCATGTACATTACATACCAAGCAGCCTCAACAGCAGCCATTGTGTCCCTATTGCTAGAGCCTTTTGTGATTCTGGAACGCATCTAAAAAAGAAATTATAACAAGTAGTATTTATTCTGAGAAATGTATACATATATTTATCATATGTTATCCTATTTCCTTGTGCAATATGAAAATTTACTTTAGGCTCGTAAGTATGTTGGTTTCGTTTTGACCCACCTTGTCTTAAGGGCCAATGAGTTTATTCCATGGCGCGGAGTCTGTCCGTCGTCCGCCATCTTTTTATTGAAAAAAAGTTACCGATCAAGGACAAACAAATTTGGTAAGAAGCATTATTGGGGGAAGAGAAATCAAAATGATATACATGGTGATTCTCGATACCCAGGAGCATGAGGGGCGGGCCTAAAAGAGGAAAGGTGGGATTTCCGGCAATGCTAATTTCCTATAGAGGTCGCCCTAAAGATTTGTTCATTCTTCGGGACCACTCGCCAATTGCTTTGTTCCATCAAAGTTGGTTCCCTTAGCTTGACATATAATCCCAATTGATCGATGACTAAATTACATCACTATGAACGTCGATTGTCACAAAAAAGTTAACAACAATCAATTATTGGAACAAAGTACAAGTTCGAACCATTCACTGAATACCAAAATACTAAAACAGTAAGTATAGCACCGATAGTATTGATTTTTTAGGCATTTTGTAAGAAAAACGTCATTTTTATGAACAAATGTCATTTGGAATGTCTTCCATATTCAATCCATGAAAAATTATCCAGCATATAGATAGCTTTATCTCTTACCCTAATCCTGCCCAAAAATTTTTGGCTTCGGTGTGTATCACCCTGATGACTTGTTGAACTACAGTGGACATATGAGACCAAGCTGTTACATACCAAACATTTATATATGCATGTGCCTTTCCTGGTATGTAAAAACCCCTAACATATAATGCCGACATGTTCTTGAATGTCACTTATAATTATGACGTTAGATACAATATATTATATGACCAATAGTTACTATACAAATCTTCCAACAACATGTTATATAATCCATATACCCCAATATCAACTGACGTTACATTTCAAATTTTCTATTAAGGTGGTGACTTTAAATAATTAATATAGTAACGTTCTTACAATGAGGGGTAGATGTGTAGGTGCGGGTTTTTAGTTGTCTTTAAGAGTGACATTAAAACCAAGAAAACTGCTAGAAATAAAACGTTTCCTCAGCACAACTGGTTGTTTGATGTTTTAAAAGCAACAAAATAAAGAGATTGGTGTGTGTGCTGTTTTAAGAATTATCAGATAAGAAAGCCACAACCTGAAAGTCAAAACTTTGATGTTGATGATGATACGTGGCGAAACATCCCACTATCATTAATAGAGGATTTATTCTATGGACAGAATTTACACGCAAAATGCACACTTTTTATGTTTCAATCAAAACTCGACCATATTAACAAGCGCACAAAACTTCAACTCATCTTTCGTCACAGGCTGTGGAGTCCGTGGTCTTCACGTATTTGATCACATCATCTCGTCTTAAACTAAATGTTGAAATCCTTACTGATGAAGATGACTTCCCAGCTACCTCCATGATCAAAGGAAATCATCAATGACCTTTTGGAGATATCACATTATGCTATCAAAGCAGGAGTATTTTTAATTGTGCGTTTCTCCTGTCTGGATAATGCAGATTGTAAAGCCTAGACTTGTCGGACAAGAAAAAAGAGTTTCTAAAATTCTTTCTTTCATTCTCTATTGGGTCTGGTATTTACACTCCAAACCACGAGTATGCGCGAGTTGATCTAGGTAGAAATGAAGCCGTAGAAATCAAGGAAACAATGTTCAACTCTTTTTAACATGTAATATTTCGGTATATCGTAAACATTTCATTCCATAGTAAAATCATTAGAAATAACCATTGTTCCTTTGTTCCTTGGACGTGAACAGCATACAAGAGCAAATATTATGGAGCAAAACACTGTTTTCTCAGGAGCATTTCTTGGCCAACGGACAACTGTCATACTTGGTGGTACATATATCTTGATTCCTAAGAGTTCTGATTACAAGCTCCAGAGAATAACCTACAGTGGCCACAGGAAACGGAACTATTTGAAGTTCATGAGTGTAGCTCTTGCCTGATGTTTACATTCTGGACACAGAAGAACTTTTTCTGGAAGCGATAATGACGCGGAGATCACGAAAGCCACCATGAATATTCTCTCTTGATAGGAGAAAGATGGCAATGTCGTTGTTAATCGAAGTTTTTGGATTTTTTGCCTGATTTGGAATCACATGCTTGGACAACAAATATGCTGTCTTATCTAAAACCTGGACAGACTCAACATGACGATCATCCAACCTTGATTGATTCATAAATCCAGATGGGTAGTGGAGTCATATCACGGGCTTTTCAAGCAATTGCTGTTTTACAAAACATAACTTGCCTCCAACTATTTCATTGATGTCATCAAGGCACCTGTTAAAATAGTAACAGCCTGTCTCATTGGAATCTGCGGACCCATATATATTAGAACAAAAGGGCGAGACGTAAAGGATATGGCGATGACTTCCAAAATGAAAGTGCGCCTTTGTGTTCATAAAAACTCCGCGTGTGAAAAAAATAACCAGATCTTGCCAGAAAGGTCATGTCACTATTTGTCAAACAAGATGTTACTGTGGATAATTGTAACTTTCCTAAGTTATAAGACATGAAATACTTTCGGGCATGGCCTGTGGCACATACAAAATGGCTACATAAGTGAGCACCTCAGTGATAATGGTGACTACTGGATCTGGATCTATCGGCACTCACGAGACATTGTACGATTCACTCGAGGCATAAGATCAGTGTAAGGTATGTAAAATGTGTGGATCGAGCATGACCGCTCCGACGCCATTAATCACGTAAAGGATTGATATTACCAGTGTTCTACTTGGCAGAGAACCTTGGGGGTATATGCCGACGTAGGTAGTATTCTGTACTTTTTAGGATGCTACATGCATTTTGAAATCGGTAAACCTTTGCACGAGCTGGGTCTTGCTTAAATATGAGTAATTTGTTACGTGAAGGTATAATTTTTGGGTTGAAATTAGTGATTATTTGATCATTCGTAGCATTTTTGAGGTGGTAACCATGGTTTTCACCCGTCCCAAATCAGCGGAAATTTTTATTGTTTACACAAATATTTTTTACAGCAACTACAATTATCTTGTAGTTTATAAAATATATATACATGTAAGGGTGTATATTCTATATCTGTTTATCTCACAAGTGTATAATTTAAGGCAAAATAAAAATGAAGTATCCTTGAGTGAAGATAATTGATTTATTATAAATCCTTCCTTTTCTGTCTCCGTTTGATATGTAACATCATTGGGTGAAGAGAAATCAATTTTGTATAAACTGTGGGGTAGGGCAACGGAAGCGGGAGGAACAAGGCCCGATAGAAGGTCCAATGGGATAGGATATATAGCAAATTCTCAGATATCCATATACTTTTGAAATGTAGTATTTTGTTTAAATTTAGTAAAAAGCCAGGGCCCAAATATGGGACAGCCTGTTACTTGATTTGGTGAATATATGTTTATCCATTACCCTCTTCTTGAAGTAATGGTATAAAAGATATTTGTTATTTTATATTAACGGAACGACTCCCTATTACCTCCAGTTAACTTGACAATAGGTAAGACTAAAGTACGGAATAAACTAGCTTGAAGTAAATAACATCAAACGTTGTACAAAAGACACACAAGTGAATGGAACCTTTTTTTTTATAATTTTGAGTGAGAGACAGTAGAGCCTGACAATACATTAAACTGCATCATACAGCTGTTCCGTTGCTTCTAGGACTCGTCAGTGACGGTAAGGGCCTGAAATTTGAAAGCTAGGAGGCGACTAAGGGGAATCCAATGTGATTTAAAGAAAAGTCAGCAAAGTGTGAAAATTTATGTGTGTAAAATGTAAATAAAATTTACATAACAGTTAAGTAGTTGTTTATATAATGAACTTTACACAAACATTACCTCAACGTGGCGGTCTGGGTGGGTGAAACGGTCATAAACGTTAACAGCATCCCTAGGAAAAGTAAGGGGGCAACCAAATAGAATAATTTGCATTCCGATAAGCAAATTCCCTGGAATGCACCAATGGGAGGGCCCGTTACATTCAAGGAAATCATTTGTGTTGTGCTCTCTTTTGCTGTTGGTCCTTGTGTCGAAACTTCCGGTTCGGTTGGTAATGTGCTGTTAGTCATTGCTATCAATGACGCAGTGACGCACGAACAATTGCTATAAAACTGAATAATAAATAAATAAATAACAGCAAGTAGTGATTAAGCAGTGTGGATTGATTCACATATGGTTGCTACTTGTACCAAGTAATATGCATGATTCATTCACTGTGACGTCATCAGTTCATGACTCCAAAATAAATATAGCATGCTTTTATCATAATACTTCCTTTTCAAAGGAAAGCATAATTGCACCGAATAAGACAATCCCGACAGAGGTGTTAGCTTGATAGAAGAATAGAAAAAAACACTTTAAGTACAAAATATTTTTTTGTAAAAAATCAATTATATATAACAACACCGTCGCATACAGCCCTCGTCAGTACAAGACATTACAATAAGTCTACAGCTACATGTACATAAATCTTAGGCCTTATTTCTTTTTATTTTTGGTAAATCCATGATAATCTAGTTCAACGTCGTATACATAGGACTTAAAATCGTCTTACATGAAATAAAAGGAGTGAAATTCATGAAAAGTCGAAATATACGGGATGTATCTATATTTATCATTAAGAATGCATGATACTAACCTTAAATGGTCCCATGGGACCCTCTAGCCATTCGAAATCAAGGCTACATCCGGCGTGGCACGGTGAGAAATAGATAGATCCATCCATGCCACAAACTGGCTCGTACAACACAGCGGAACATCCACACTCGGAATTGCACTGATCTTGTAGATTCGGTTCACTTGTAAGCTGCCTTCGTGGAATATTCAAATTGACATTGTTAGTTTCATCCTTTTTGTAATCCAAGAATATACTATAAAATCGTGGTAAGAATGTGATGTTCCAGTATATCTGGGATGAAATAAGTTACTCATAGAGCGAGTGTCTACAATGTATGTTGTTACTGCAGGTAAAATATATGTAAAACTGTTAGGACCCGTGCAAATGGCGTTTCTTGTTTCAGTTTTAAAAACAGCACTATTGCAAAACATGGAGACTTACACAGATAAAAAAAAGAAGTTAAAGTTTTGCAAAAAGTTTCAAGGAGAAATAACCAGTTCCAATAAAATCCCTAAAATGACTGACATTACTCGGTCTACTGTAGAAATATACAAGTGGCACTCAAAAGGATGTCACCTTTCAATAAAATTTGAAATAAGGTACAGAAGCGTGAATTAATGAATGAATATAAATCACATAACTCTTTCGTCCTTCTAGGTTCATCAGTGATGCTACTCACGGGGCTACGTTGTTGAGATTATGAAGCAACTAAAGAACACTAGGTCGGTATCTACTTTATAACAAGTAGCTTCAGTACACCCGAGTTATCAAAAACAACAAAATACTATTTCAACATGTTAACGATATCATAACCGAAACTCAAATTCAATGAAACTTAGGCAAAATATAAACACAAGAAATATTTACAGGGGGACTCATGTAAGTAGAAGGTGAATAAGACATGGTGTTCCGGAAGAGTAAGCGTCTTCTGCTTCATTGACGACACCCATCGTGTAAACCTTTATCAATACAAGTAAGTAATGTCACATTTTTAAACGAGAGCTAGGTTTACAGCAACCGAACCAACAACCAATCTAAAGAGCACCACATACGTCCAGCTTCTGCACAAAAAAATGGAATATTTCTCACTGAGATCAGTATGGCGACCGTGACTTCCATACGATTTCCGTCAATTGCGAAACCATCTTAACAAAATGTAACCATGCGTATGAAGATCGTCAAAGCTGAAGATCATCAAATCGACCTGTTTTCTCTGTAGCCATATTGCCAACACTATTTTCCAGCTTTGTGTACATAGTGCACAACAAGCAAATTCATGGAATTTATTTCCCCCACTTTCCAAACATATTGTAAGTAAATAGTTTAGAGGTTAGGAGTAAACATGTCATAATGCTATGTAGAATGATAAATTCTTTTGAACTATGATGCATTGCTTTAAAGCCAAAGAAAGATGTAAAGGATTATAGAAAGTAGATGTTTTATTGGACATATCAAATATTAACCAATAAAGTGAACTAATTGAAGCAAACTTGCATACTAGTAACTATAATGGTGCTAAGCAGATCCATGGTCATCAGCAGGTATAGTAGTCCACACAATATGATGATCAGTATAGGGGACTGGAAATGAATATCCTTGAGTGTCTGCATTTGATGTAAGAATGAAATCAAGAGCCCTTCCATGGAAATGTGTTGGTTGGTTGATAATGTTGGGAAAACGGATTATATCTAAGGAAGTTAGAGCACGGAAATGAACCGACCAATGGAATCAAAGGATACCTCATTAGTATGCATAATTATTAACAGATGACACTGATAGTCAAACTCAGTCTTAATGACCCTAAGATACATCTGCTGACCACGTTTCACCCAAATTGGAGGATATTTGGGGAAGTTAGAACACGAAAGTGTGACAGACAGACAGACGGACGGACGAACCTAAATTAATACCCCCTGTTTCGGTGAAAGCGGGGGATATCTAAAAATACTGTCCAATAATTACTCTCTCGTACAATGTTAACCTCGAAGCAAACAGGCTGCATATTGGTCAAGGAGTCAGCGTAGTTATCACGTTGTAGTTGTCACTTATGTACTTTTATTCTATTCGGATTTGGAGACCAAAAATCATACGCTCAATTTTTTTTTTCGTTAGACGCATACACACTTCAACAGAACAAACCAAAGACTAAGTAAGCAGTGCGGTAGTTTGAATCATTGAAACATTTTATACTGTAAAATACTGATTGATAACACATTCTGTTGACTTACCCGTGTGTTGTGTACTGTGTGGTGACCCCAGCTATGTCCTGTGTTGGACAGCCGATTAAGAAGAGACAGCCCATCACAGCGGCGGCTAACGCTAATATAAGATTCATCCTAATGATAGCTTTACATTTCAGTTTGAGTTTTTTCACGAGATAACCACCCAACAACATACCACCGCCCGCACCAAGCACCGTTATGATACCTGTAGCAAAACACTTTACAATCTTTATATTGTTATACTGCAAATACGAGAAGATTGCATGAGTTGAGTGCTTGCGTTTTCCGGACGCTGTAATATGACTGTGCAGGCTTCCTTGTAATAGTGTGGAAGTGTTTACAGAGGACTTAACATATTTAACTTTCTAGCAGCTACTACTGCTACTGCTACTACTACTACCACAACTACTACTACCACAACCACCACCACCACCACCACCACTACTACTACTACTACTACTACTACTATTACCGCCACCACCACCACCACCACTACTACTACTACTACTACTACCGCTACTACTACTACTACTACTACTACTACTACTACTACTACTATTACCGCCGCCACCACCACCACCATCACCACTACTACTACTGCTACCACCACTACTACTACTACTACTACCACCACTACCACCACCACCACCACTACTAACACCACTACCACCACCACCACCACCACCACCACCACCACCACTACTACTACAACAACTACTACTGCTGCTACCACCACCACCACCACCACCACCACCACCACTACTACTACTACAACCACTACTACTACTACTACAACCACCACTACTACTACAACTACAACTACTACTACTACCACCACCACCACCACCACTACTACTACAACCACTACTACTACTACTACCACTACTACTACTACAACCACCACTACTACTACAACTACAACTACTACTACTACCACCACCACCACCACCACTACTACTACTACAACCACTACTACTACTACTACAACCACTACTACTACTACTACAACCACTACTACTACAACTACTACTACTACTACTACTACTACTACTACTACTACTACTACTACTACTTACTACACTACTACCACCATCACCACCACCACCTACACCACCACCACTACTACCACCACCACCAACACCACCACTACCACCACCACCACCACCACCACCACCACTACTACTACTACTACTGCTACTACTACTATTACTACTACTACACCACTACACTGTTGCTACTGATCTGGGTAACTATAATTCGTATTGTTTGCAAAACAGTAGAAAATTCAGTGGGGATGAGAAAAAGTCCAGACGCCTGATGCGCTGATACCATTTAAGCCCTAACGGAGGCCAAACAAGTGACAACTTGCTTAAACATGAAAAAAAATATGGCAGAGAAATTTAATATAAATCATTGTACATACAGCTTTATTGTAACTTACCCATAATAAAACTAGCTAATGCTGCTGGTAAGTTAAACTTTTCTTGCATGAACTTTGGACCAAACGCAGCCGTACCACTCACAATTAGGCCCTCTGTGCACGTGCCAATGGCCAGGAATAAAAATGTCGGATTCACGATCTGTATTGTGTAAACAAATATTGGTAACAATATGACAAACACTGCTTTCAGTTATTGTGAATTAACGCTGCGTTGATACTTTAGTACATATTAATACAGGATCTCTCAAATCAAAAGGAAAAAGTTGGGTGGTTTTAGCGAGTTGAGGACATTTTGATATCAATAACGAAGAGATCAAATGGAATGGTGCAGAAAGGGAATCAATGCACCGAATTCGTTCAGTAGGATCTCGTCGAGAAAAAAATAAGTATTTTCGCTATCTGAAATTTGTGTTTCATAAATAACAATCCTTTGGTAAAATCATACATTTTGGTTGATGTAGCGAGGGTGCAATTTCTCCAGCTGTGGATAATTGTGCTCGAAAAGACAATTTGGTACCGAAGATCAAGACTGTGACAGACATGACAGGGAACATAATTGTTTATCCTTCTTTATGCTTAAGTATATCGTAGCGAATCGATGAACATCTTGTGTTATGTTCACATGACAAACTTCATGATAATCACCACTGTGGAATGTAGACAGAAGTGTGACAATCCGCGAGTAGAGGTCCTTATTCCCTATTTATCACATATCGCTGTCCCATATCATATACATGGGCCTGACTTACTAGATTCCACATTGCTAAGGGAAAGGCCTTCCAGTCTTTTCCGTATTGATCCTTGGTCATTTGGTCACTATTCCCTCCCTGATATGCTTCCGACTTCCTGTCGGCCCGAATCTTGGCACTTCCTACAGCAAAGTATACAGCGAACATACGAGTAAATCAATGTCAACTTAGAGGAGATCATCTGCCTTCAAAAACCCCTTCATTTATCAATTTCAACTATTCCTAAATATTCCAAATTATCACTGTAGCCGCAATAATCTATCGGATTCCAAAAGACGAGAGGGAAGGGAGGCAACTCTCTTAAGTCTCCGAAGACTTCTCACTCAGTGTAGTACATAACTTGCTCGTATGTTTGGATATATTATACAAATCACATATGAATAACAGCACAAATACTTTTCCTTTAATGTCATCACATTTCGTTATAGCAATACATCTGATCACAGGGTACTTTTTAAATGAACTGGTTTCCAAAGGAGTTTTTCTCTTCCGGAACATATTTACCTGGTAATCGTTTTGGGTAGGCACACATGGGTAGTACAACAAGACACATGACGGTACCACTAACAAGAAAACTGAGCCACCATGCACCAACCCAACGAGGGTCCATAGGGGAGAGGCCAATACTGAGAAAAAAAGAGAATTTTATTTCAATTAAAAAAATCCTTACTGTGTGAAATGGTATACTGAATCATTGAAATGGGCTTCAAAACTCTTAAATAACATGCATGGGATCATGCAGTTTGTGAAATTAAGTCTTCACGAAAAAGCTATGACATCGTAGCTACAAGTGTTAAACAGCGAGTCATGTTGTTTAGTCGCTCTTACAAGGGGGAAAGGTTGAGCTAATGTTTAGCGTTGCGCGCGCACACACACTTCTGTTACTCTGATTTGATCTCTTTTAGATTAGGAAAAGAAAAGAACAAATAAAAACATTATAGAAACAAGCACAAATACGGCATGTAGATCTCTAGGACTCACTGTTCAGGATCCAACACGTTGAAATCCGTAAACAGATTTAACGTCTGACCCCCAAGCATGTAACCAGCTGCCACTCCGACAGATGCTGCAGCGTATATGATACCTTGAATAAATGAATAAAGTGCAAGCATAGTTTATTCAAAATGGATATTCTTATGGAAATGTGACCAGAAAAAAAAATTGTCAGTTTTTGGAATTCATTAAAACTGAAACATCTTTAATGATTTACATTCATAGACAATTTTTTTAATCTTAAAGCTTTATTTGAAATCGACTATTGAATTTAATTGTGTGATATCAAACTTTGACAAATGTTTCAGTCATTACATTACTGATATATATATCCTTCGATCGGTATGTTTTGCGAAAATATATTTGAAATACAAATGAAATTACCTAAATATAATGATGTCATCTTCGCCTGCGCGTTCTCGTCAATAAACGCCGTTCCAAGTGTAAACATGGGCGTTGATCCCGCCCCATGGAGAGCATTCCCAAGCATGAATATCCATAGATAATTTTGTAGGTCGGAAGACTTTTTCACGTTACAGGAACCGGAAGTGGTCTCATTTTGATATCGGCAAACATTTTCAAAATTACCGATGGCTTCACAGAAATGAAGAAGTGAAATTTTTTAAAACCAATTTGAAATAAATAGTTTACATATTTTCGTCTCATTATATTTACCGGTGTTTACAGCTTATATAATGTATATCAGGTTGTTGTTTTAAAGTGCGCTTTCTTTGATACAATTCGCACAGCAAATATGACGATCTCAAAATTTCACAAAGAAGGTGAAAATATCTATATATCTTCATTTTTGAAACAAAATTTCTACTTTCACACTGATTGTATCATAATAAAACTAGCTTGTTGAGTTAGACGGAGTTCACTTTCCCTTGTTGAAAGTACCAGTGTGAAATTAAATTCAAAATGAAAACTCACCTTCGGTGCCGACATTGTGTGTTCCAGTCATGAAGTGTGGCAACGAGAACACAAATGATCCCAATCCCAGGGTCAGTATTCCGATACCAATTATTCTGGGTTTGTGGCGATGGCTGCCATAGTAACTAATAAAAAGCACTAAAAAGCAGGCAAAGAAATCATTCGAGCTTACAATGAGCCCTGATTTCGAGCTTGGGAGCTCAAATCGTTTTTCCAACGTGCTTATGATAGCATTTATTACGCCATTAACAATGAACCCTTGGAAAAGACTGAACACACATGTCCAGAACACAAACCAACGGATCGTGTTGAACCTCTGGAGCCATCTAAAACAAATTAAATATCCTGATTATTTTATTAAAAAATACATTTCTTCATCTAGATCTAGACTGTATTTTTCTCTTATAAAATTACAGATAGCCAATCATATAACACCCATACTTAAAAATTAATGATGATACTTTGGCACTATGTTCGTATCAGTGTATCCTGTTTTCTTTATCAGACGATTGTATGAACACCTCCAGGAAACAGGACGCTAACCACGAAGTTAATATGCTTACAATCCTATCAATTAGTTCCCTCTTCCTTGATTAACACATACGATGAGCCCATGAAAGTGATAGTTAACTATAACTACAGGGGTTCGGTGGAGGTTCCCTGAGAGACCCTTTTCACTATATTGGTCAGACCAGTCAGTGAGACGCTGGATCCGAGACACTCCCAAAATCCAATTTCTTTCTTGGAGCTTAACGTCCTTGGTCAGGTCATAGCCGAGCCTAGGACTCTACCCACCATCCACCCTTTCGTGTATTTGTTATATGTGGTCCATAAAGACGTCTGTGTTGGCATTCACTCATTTGCATACATGGTACTCAGTTTTACTTACAGTTTAATGCAATTAATAAAACCAACCTGTCAAAAGATTTTCATGTTTAAAATAACAAATTACGTAGCAATATTTTCACGAAAAAGTTGAAATATGGTGAGATTTGAAGTTATTGGGTTAATTTGCAACTATATTTATTTCTACGGGGTACCATGGGTTATGTCCCTTAGCGCTTATTGAATCGTGGGCATGTGAGCGCACAGGTAGAATGGGGTCAGTCATGGATGAGTGATTGTATCAGACTTGGACTCAGAGATCTGTTCAGCCATTGTTATAAAGGTACCTGTTGTAGCCTACACATTCTATTAGGAAGGACTTCTAAATTTCTCATAACTAATATTAGTAATCATAGTAAAAAAGACAAGGACCCCCTCCACCGCCGGAGGTCCAGACACATCACCACAAGGTTACCTTCAGACCAAGGAGTCATCTCCAAATTACAGAACAGTAACCCCCCAGACGACTCCAACCCATGAGGGGCGCACCCCTCCTCACGTCGCCAGAGAATCGGCACACGTCGATTGGACAATGCCCGGCGACGGGCAGAGTCACGGAGACGAGAAACCTTCATCATCATCATCATCATCATCATCATCATCATCACCTACATAGAGGTTACACATCTGCTACTCCGTAATAATACTTTACATAACATGTCGGACTTATTTCTTATTTGAATCCGTGATAGAATAAATATCAATGTTCAGAATCACAAACAGAAGATAAATACTTCCAATGATTACTATAAAAATCAGAGTATTGCCATTCAGGTCAACGCTATCTTATGAATAAAAACATCACTTTTTAATATATGAGTGCATATGGTCAGTTAATTGAAGGAAGCGACAGTAAAGCCCCAACAGAGAACCCCTGTGGTTTACCTGGACATGTGTGAACTAACTGGACATGTAGGAACTATAACCATCTCTTTCATGGGCTAATTTCTCATCGTCTGACTCTATGTCCTATAGTCAATTTACGAAGAAAAAAAATCTGATTTGGTAAGGGGCGTATGATAAAGACACTTCTGGATTTGGTTTAAAACAAATAGATATGCGAGAAGGTCTATGACTTGAAAAAAAAACATTTGAACAGAACAACATTTTCCTCTACTGTGGCAATGCTTCTAACTAATTTAAATACATAGTACCGAGCAAATCTCGAATTCATTGAAGTCGTATATTTTGTTTCTCATTAAGGTTTATGACTTACATTTATAAACAGCAGTCAATAAGTCAATTCATTTATGTAATTCAGTTGCTTGGATGTTACATCATCAATCCATGTTATTTATTTTCAAGCAACATGTCCGTGGTTTTTTGCTGAAAGTCCAATATAATGATATACAATGTACTAGATGCGATACTAGCACGCCAACATAATCAAATACCAATTCTTTTAACCAAGTCTTGAAAGTCAACTATGTCACGTATTCAGAAACGTATTATAGAGGGATTTGAGATTTTTTCTATTTTTAAAATGCTAGAAAATGCATATTTGTATCTATTTTGATATCTGATTATTATGGTTGTCTAGATACGTGCTAATTTTAACGTATAAATTGATATTTTCTGTACGATGATTGTATTATGGAATATTTTGAAATGAAATACTGTACCAATTATAGTTAAATTACGTTGCTGTCTTTATATACCATTTTTCTAAAAAAGAAAAAAAGTAAGAAAAAACTCCTAATAAATCTTTTCAAAACAAAAAGTAAAGTAGAAATCTCAAATTTCAAATTGATCTCGCTAACTTTTGTAACAAATATTTTCTGTTTACTAATATTTTTTGAAAACAAAACGCGAATTTGAGCTATTCACAACTGAAATACCACCCGATATCGCAAAAAATGATTTGACATTTTAATTTATTAACATTATTTTTGTTACGAAAATGATATTCCCTTTTCACTGTTCGACAAATTGACTCTGGTCAGACCGGTCAGTGCAAAGACAGCATATATTTGGAAGTGACCAGGGCACAGGTAAGTAACAGAGGAACGGTTTTCACGGCTCAATGAATGAACACAAAATCTAACACCCGGAAAGCATACACTACCCTCCGTAATATGTCCATGGGCAAAAGCCTGTTTATCATTTTGAATCTCAGGGTTAAATATCTCTTTGATCATGTTTGGCTGTGAAGGAAAAAGGTACCGATTCGTGTTTTACTTAAATAATTGAAACAATGTAGCAATAATGAAATTTGGAAATTACCACATACAACACCCCCTAGTAGTAAATTTCTATTTGGTCTTTCATTATCATGTCATTTCAAGTTTCTGTATTTCACTCAGGTACATATATATATGGTAAAAGAGGTCATCTAGACAATACAGGAAGGTCGAATAAGTACATCTGTACCAGTTATAGATATACATTGATAGTAACAATGTAGTTACATTGTCTATATATCATTAGAGAAACTACCAGACAAATTGTCTCATCAATAATTGATACTAGATATACATTGATAGTAACAATGCACTAGAGAAATTACAGTACAGATTGTTTAATCAACAATTGATACTAAATATACATTGATAGTAACACTGCAGCTGCAATGTATCTATATATAACAGAAAAGAAACTACAGGATGACCTGACAGTAATTTAGCTATTTTTCCAATAAAGAGGACACCATTGTTGAGTAATTTAACATTTCAAGCTAAATATGGGGTTCGTGTAAAAATCCTGGTATAGAACATGTACATCTGGATTTTTGTAATAAAAAAAATGTTAAAAGTAAAGTCAGTGTGTAGCAGTATGGTTTATTCTGACGAAAATGCTAAATAATTCAGTTTGACTTCATTCAGCACTAAAACATATATAAATAAATAATGTTATTATGTTGGATGATTTAGCACTACACCTTAACATATTTCCTAAATCATTATAACATAAAGAGAAAAGAACCTGAAGACTATTGATAAATAAATGAAAAACAAAATAATCTAATAATCTAAAAAGTGACACTACTTTTTAATTCAGGTTTGTCAAAGTTTTATCAATACGTTGGAAGTTTACTATACTTGATAGTCAGAGTCATATATTTGGAGATCTATGCATAATATTGCTTTTATTTCACATTGAAGTTGTCAAAATAATCGTTTTGTTAAAATATGATAAGACTATGAAGAAGATTCATGTGTAAATTTCCACTGAAAAATGACACAACTAATATTCATCTAAAAAATTTAAGAATTATATATATTTGTAACGAAGAAATGTTAAATTTACTGATCAGAGGCACACATTTTGGAATTTTTATTAACAAAACGGTATATTAAATTTTTTCTGAAATGCCGCTATAAAATCTATAGTACAAAATCGTTCACCAAGAGCGAGAAATCCGGGAATGCGTGACGCGGTGTGTCCTCAATAGCTACATATACAAAAGAGGAATTTTAAAATGTGTTATCATGTTGACTTATCAACGCAAAATTTCCGTTATGTTGACATAAGCTGACAATAGAAAGTAAGTTTGGTAAAGGGTAGATAGATTGTACAGCAAGGGTTTACAAGAATGCCAGAAGTATATATTTTTTTCTTGGAACAATATTATCATGGAAAGTTTTTACGTCATTTGAATTAACATTTTCCTTGATTTATTCGCCATTTTATTCCGGAGATTATTAATATATTTATCTTGCACTAACTTTAGAATCTAGAGAGGAAAGAATGACAACGAACCAACTCATAAAGTCGTTTGCTAATATCCTTGTCTCTACTTATCACAAATAAGTCGTTTTTAACCTTCATTCTACGCTGAATTAGCATTGTCCGGGAGTTGCCTCCCTTAGCCCATTTTAACAACAGAAAAAGAAGCCGAAAGCCTCGTCGATGTACGTTCGACAGAAAATGTTAACCAAAGCAATGATCTATTTATTTATCTGTCAAGACTCGTGTTAAACATGAACGTGTCGTTGTATGTACAGAAAAAAGGAAATAAATGTGACATAACATGTAATTATATAAATCAGAAAGACAGCGTAATGGTCATCATGTTCACATCTGATTTTTAGTGAAATAGAGTCAATGTTTTTTTTTGTATATATGACTTGTTGACCCGTTACTGAGTTTAAAGATCAACATTTTATGGTCTGATATATAAACCCTGTATTAAGAGAATATTTAATGGCTTCATGTTTGCTATTATATCTATCTTCCAAGAGTATAACAGAACATCAATATTGTACACGGGAATTATTTGATGGCAAACGGATTTATTAAAAATTCTCGTCGTTACAGTCCATATAAGAAAATAGAGGAATCAAAATGCAATGACTAGAAATAGCCGCTCTGTTTGGAAAAAAATTAAAGTTCTATCACCAATGGAAAAGATTTTCATATGTCATCACTATTATGATTTTAGTTTTAACTAAATAGATGAATTCTTATATTTTATTGGCAAAATGTAATAAAAAAACTTTTTCTTTTTCAACAAAATATTGTATACAATTCTCGACAACATTACACAGTTCACATTTCATATAAATAACGATTAACTTACTCAGGAGTCCAGCCTCCCCATCCAAATCGTAGATTTTGTCTTTCCCATCTTTCATCCGTTGTATCATCTTCATTTTCGTTTATCTTTTGAGATATCCGATCTTCCTGTTTTTCATTCATAAGTTTCATACTAACAACTGATAGAAATAAATTATCATTATTCGTTATGTGTTTTTAATTTGTGTTTTAATAGGTTTACATGTATTTTTCCTAAACACATTTTGTAAAGTTCTTTGTTAAGTATAGCGACGAAGAATTATGTAATTATTTTCAATCAGAGAAAGTTCGGATCTGATCATGTCACTTTAATGATTTTAACTCAGATAAAGTATCCTTAATTTATTCAAATTGACGTCAGTTCTCAAGACGATTGAGCCAGGGAAAGAATATCATTTTTGAACCAAAAGCTTATATACCGACGTTTTGAAAGTCAGTGAAAATTAAGTTGATGGATGTTACATACAGAAATAACATATTCATTTTTATGATAAACCAAGTGCCGATCAGAAGGGATGATTTTTTTTGAAGACAGGTAATGACGAATGCAGAGAGGTAAGGGCGAATGAAGACAGGAAAGGGCGAATGAAGACAGGTGAGGGCGAATGAAGAGAGGCAAGGGCGAATGAAGACAGGCAAGGGTGAATGGAGAGTGGCAAGGGCGAATGAAGACAGACAAGGGTGAATGGAGAGGTAAGGGCAGATGAAGACAGATAAGGGCGAATGAAGAGAGGAAAGGGCAAATGAAGAGAGGTAAGGGCGAATGAAGAGAGGGCGAATGAAGAGTGGCAAGGGCGAATGAAGAGAGGTAAGGGCAAATGAAGACAGGTAAGGGCGAATGAAGACAGGTAAGGGCGAATGAAGAGAGGTAAGGGCGAATGAAGACAGGTAAGGGCGAATGAAGAGAGGTAAGGGCGAATGAAGACAGGTAAGGGCGAATGAAGAGAGGTATGGGCGAATGAAGAGAGGGCGAATGAAGAGTGGCAAGGGCGAATGAAGAGATTTAAGGGCGAATGAAGGGAGGAAAGGGCGAATGAAGAGAGGTAAGGGCAAATGAAGCCAGTTAAGTGCGTGATACGGTATGTTAGTCAACACAACAGAAGTATGGCGGACCGACTACTTGGTACTACAGATAACAGAAAGTAGAAATATGACTTAGTACTCTCTATTAGGCGACAAGGGTGTATCTATAACAACAACAACTAAAACAAAAATCCCAAACAAAATTATTCAGACACAAAATAAATGTTAATATGAAACAACAATAAAAGCCTGCTTACCTAAAGTGTTGTCTATCTATAATAAACACCAATCTTGACCAAATGGTCACCACGGTCAAGGCGGGGGCTGTTGACTGGTTAAAAGGTCATCTGTGAGTTTTTAGTTTGATATGCCATTACTGATAGTGATAGACATATGTTACTGACCTATAGTGGGTAAGAGTATTCGGCAGGTGCGAGATATCAAGTCTTCATCATAATTCTGGCCCAGGTGCACCTGTAGATTACTCTAGGTTCTTACTGAATGCCGAAGCATGTAAAATGGATGTGACGAACATGGCTCGGTCAAACTACGCCAGTTTAACAGCGTCATTTTTGATATATTCTGAAGGCGATTATCTAAATCAGGGAAAAAAAAAAAAAAAAAAACACACACACACACAAATTGGATCAAATGTCAAATTCAAAATAGATTAGGATTGTCTTAGTTAACGTTTTGCGACCGGATTTTAGTTATCTTTGTGTACAATCTGTCTCCGGTTGTTCACTTATCATACATTTATCTGTCATATAAAACCTGTTAGATCTAATGAAATTGTGTATTTCAATACACAAATATATTGAATTTTTAAAAATCTATATAAAAATGAGATTCACAGATATGCCGAAATAGGTACCCGCCAGCCGGAGATTTTCAACTTTTTTTTTACCGGAAGTGAAATCATGGATTTTGATGTTGATGTCAGTATTTCTGTACGAAGCATAAATAGATATCCGGATTTAATTTTTTTTTCTAATTTCTCTTAGACTATTTTTTCTAATTTCTTCAAGACTATTTTTTCTAATTTCGCTAAGACTATTTTTTTCTAATTTCGCTAAGACTATTTTTATTGATTTCTTTGAGACTATTTTTTCTAATTTCTTTAAGACTATTTCAAAGATACTGCTTAGAATATCTTATCTTGTTAATATTGCAATATTACTTATATTCAAACACATAAATTATGTATAATGGATTTGTATTTACGGAAAAAACAGAATAAGATAACTTATTAATTTGGACCCCATAAAACAGAGGTCAGACACCATTTCACCTTAGTGCTAAGGAATCCAGATTGTAGGGTGAAATAGTGTTAACTAAACAAGCGTATGATGAACTCTTGACCTTCGGGTGAGATAGCGAATGGTAAACATACTATAATCCAACTTTTATACATGTGCTTATCGAATACGTTATCATTTTTCTCCTTTCTTTGTCTTGATATAGATGTATTGTAAACATACACAATGATAACCAATACTGTACGATAATGAAGGTGATGTTCAGGGGGTGTGCATTGAAACGCAATAGGCCATTAACCCTGTTATTCTAATACCTTAACATTGAAAATCAAAGATTGATATAGATTTAATTAACCATCCCGCTGATATGAACATTCAGGGATTATTCTCAATAAACAATATCTTTACAAGACTTGTCCGTGTTTGTCAGTGTGAGATAGATATTGTGTTTAGCTCCAGGTGTATAACGCTACCTTGATATCATACGTAACAGATATGGCGTACGACTTCTTTTATTTAGTTAGCTGATAACATTAACATTGGACAAATGTTTATCTGATGAAATTAAATTCATGTTTGAACTGTATCTCGCCTTCTGCTATGATAACAATGAAATACATGACAGATGTGTGGATGTTAAAACACACACAATGAAATAAAATGACAGCGAATCCATTTCAACATGAGGTACATCGATCTTACCATTCATCCGAACAAAATCAAGCTTTAAAGATCAAGTTTAAGTACCGATGTTGATAAATATAATCACTTTCTGTTTTTTTGCAGGTTATCGGCACTTGACAATTTTCTTGTGATATTTCGGAACATCTGGTTTTATTTTCCTTGTACTTTTTCAGGGGTCTCTTTTTTCCTTTGTTCATATTTTGTCCTTATTTTATTGAATTTGAGTTTGGATCATGATTATGTTGACATGTTGGTATTTTTTGTTATTGAATTTGAGTTTAGATTATGATTATGTTGACATATTGGTATTTTCTTGTGCTATTGAATTTGAGTCTGGATTATGATTATGTTGACATGTTGGTATTTTTTGTTATTGAATTTGAGTTTGGATTATGATTATGTTGACATGTTGGTATTTTCTTGTGTTATTGAATTTGAGTTTGGATTATGATTATGTTGACATGTTGGTATTTTCTTGTGTTATTGAATTTGAGTTTGGATTATGATTATGTTGACATGTTGGTATTTTCTTGTGTTATTGAATTTGAGTTTGGATTATGATTATGTTGACATGTTGGTATTTTCTTGTGTTATTGAATTTGAGTTTGGATCATGATTATGTTGACATGTTGGTATTTTCTTGTGTTATTGAATTTGAGTTTGGATTATGATTATGTTGACATGTTGGTATTTTTTATTATTGAATTTGAGTTTGGATTATGATTATGTTGACATGTTGGTATTTTCTTGTGTTATTGAATTTGAGTTTGGATTATGACTATGTTGACATGTTGGTATTTTCTTGTGTTATTGAATTTGAGTTTGGATTATGATTATGTTGACATGTTGGTATTTTCTTGTGTTATTGAATTTGAGTTTGGATTATGATTATGTTGACATATTGGTATTTTCTTGTGTTATTGAATTTGAGTTTGGATCATGATTATGTTGACATGTTGGTACTTTTTGTTAATGAATTTGAGTTTGGATTATGATTATGCTGACATGCTGGTATTTTTTGTTATTGAATTTGAGTTTGGATTATGATTATGTTGACATGTTGGTATTTTCTGAAGTTTATTGTGATTATCACTATTTCCTGAAGTAAACGAGTTCCTTTACGGAAAATGCCGGAGATTCCCGATACTATTAATAAAAAGTCTGTTTCAAAATCTTGTTTAAGAGAAATGTTTTTAACATCTCTAAATACTTTATTCAATTCTACGGAAAAGAAAACATTTCATATCTGAGATATTTTGTCTTTTGGTTCCGTTGTTGTATACCTTGTTCTCATTTGAAAACATGACATTGCTTACTTGGATTGATCAAGGCCTACGCGGCGAGTGTCGCAGGAGGTGCGTACTCTTCCGGAACACCTGGTCTATTTCTACTTGTACTTTTTCATGAGCGCCGTGTAAATCTTTCTTTTGTTCATATGTTGCATTAGTTTGATCGAATTTGAGTTTTAATGATGACAATGTTGACATCTTTGTATATTGTTTTTGTTTTGTTTTTGTTTCCGGTTTGTGTTTTTTATTTATTTTTTTTTTATTTTTTTTGCATTAGTTCGCCTTAACAATGAATGAAGGATATAATAGATATATCCAGGATACCCTGTTGAGGATCAGAAACCAGATAGAGTTTGCTCGCTTAGAAAGTTGTGCTCTGATATTTTCTTAAATATAAGAAATAATGAAGTTTTTGTCTCCAGAGACAATCGTTGCTACCTACCATCTTTCAATGCAGATGATTTGTTTAGGGTGAGGATATAGCAGTTTTGTGTCACAATATAACAAGTGTAGGGCATTTTGAATTCCATCTTAACGCCTTCATTGCCATTACCTGCAACATGTCCTGCGATCCACTGGAACAACATCCGACTTTCTTTTGGAATATGTTTATCACAGGTGCCAAGTTTGAAATTGATTCGTTCTGAATATTGCGTAATTTGAAAATCTCTAAGATAGAGTCAAAGCATAAAAATAGCGTTATTTGTCACAATTATTTTTCAATATGATCGAGCGCCAAATTAATAGCATTTACTTTGGTCAAGAATACTGAAATATCTATAGAAGAATTGGAAAGGTAAATCTCTTCAAAAAGACATGTTTCTGCAGCTCATTTTTGCATCTAAGGAAACTTCAGTGTACAGCTGTATTTTACAGGTTGTGATGGATAATTAGTTCACAGAAGTTTTGAATTGAAAGAAAAATTCGGACGTAGGTGATGTTTCCTTCCGCTGAAATGCATGCTCATAGGTTTCGAGAATACAGAAAAGTATTCATCTACGCAGATTCGTCAACACAAAACAAAACGATATGTATTCGCTACAACTTTAATGATATCACATAATTCCTGAAAATAATCAGCCATGGTACTGTCCGACGACACAAACAGTGTACCCCCTTGTCTCCGTGGGCTTAACCACACTGTACACTTTGATATGAAGTTGTCCATCAGCGCATGCTTATAAGAAATCGATGGAATTTCAGCAAAAAAGCTAAAACGTACAACCAAACAACATATGATGTACAACTTCCGGTGTCGATTGTAACCTCATACATTAGTCCTTGCAGTGCTTGTGATGGGCGAATTTTGGTGTTTTTTGTTTTTAAAGTACTTTTTGTACATTTTGCTGTTAAACAACATATAAATGATTGGATTGGCCGCACTGTTAAGAGGAGCAAGACTTTGTATAAATGTACTGACCGCAATCATCTCATTTGTCCTTGGTATGTGACCGTATACATCCAAGAGGTCGTATACAAAATACGGACTCCAACAAAACACGAACGCTGGAAAAAACGACACGAAATTCATTCATTTTTTTCATATAAATTCGGATGAATTAGTCGTCACTATATACAAATGCCCTATAAAGTAAACATTTAGATCAAATGTTGCATATAGTGATAGAAATATTGATTCAAACGATAGTAGCATTAAATAGAACATGTAAAACTATAAGGTATCAAACAATTATATGATAATATACAAAAATTGATAAATAAATATCCCAAAGCGTTGACATACTAGTTACTTTTCATAATTTCATTGATTTTAATTAAAATCCTATTTGTTTTGAGCTTTTTTATTTCTGGTGATTTCTCTTTGAAATGATTGTGAGTTAGAGTGAACAGTGGGGGAGATTAAAATCGACCCCAGAAATAAACACAGATTTCCATTGTTTCATTAGAAACTTCATGTATTCCATTTGATACTGGAAATCGTAAATGCAAAACGCATTAGTTTCAAAAATACATCGGAAATCGATAGTATATTTTTTGTATTTGATACAATATCGGAGTTAGAAAGATTGAACCTACCTAAGACTATAACGAACGTCATTTTGATGGTTTTGATTTTTGCTTTCGGGATGAGACCCCTGGAGCTTACGTTACACTCTGTCCAGTGAACACGCTTCCTTTTGTCGGATGGAGACCCGGATGGAGCATCTGTAAACCAATAGCTGGATTCAAACTATTTTGCCCCAATAAAAGTGTTTTCAAGCAATGAATTGGGAAAAAAACCCAATACATTTAAAGATGGATCCCGGCTTGTTAATGGAAACAAAATGCATACAAAGTCATTTGACCCTATTGCTCTGCTTTGTCTTTTGCACAATCTTTGAGAAAGCAGGTGGTAGACACTGCTGGTGAATTTTAAGTCCTCGTTGCTTGTTCTAACCTACATACCAAGTTTAAATTCAAAGGATTAGTGGCGCAGTTCAGAACATACGCATGTACGTGACGTTATTATAAACTTATCTTATATACGAAAATAACGAAATTCATTTAATTAGGGTCTGTTGCACCTCCCCGTCTAGAATTTGTCCCTTTTTATTTTTTCAACAGTCGCCTCCCAGACTTCAAACTTCGAAATAAATGTCAATTTAAAAGCCCAGTATTGATATGAATGATAAAATAACATGTAAAGAATCCTGTATATGTGATTTGTATGACTTTGGCAATATTCCAACAATTTTATTTTGCATATCATTTATAGATCGCAACAGATATACTATGACTAGGTGAACTAGGTGATATATGTTTATGTATAAGTATGACAATTCACAAACCGCTAATGTTTAGAAATGTAATGTCGTTGTCAGAACAATAATTATTCTCAGTTAAAAAAAAAAAAAAAAGGGGGGGGGGGGGGGTGCTCGGCAAATTTAGTCTATTGCTTATTTACGATGTTTACTTAATTCGGGGGCTTCACCATAACTAGTTATTTTCCTTATCCTCATTAAGGATTGATTTTGTTTCTTGGATAGACTACGGTTAACATAGCGGTTATCTTTTGATGAAGCCGCTTACCATTCCGGAACACCTGGTCTTATTGTCTTTATACTGTATATCTATTTAAAAAAATTCCATTTGTCCATCAAGATTGTTTTTGAACAAATGTTCCGATAAAATATCGATATTTTCTTTGTTTTTCACTCTACTAGAGCAATATCAACAGATTGTCAACCAAACAGTGAGGAAGGAAATTGATCAAATAGGTGACAATATATACAGACTGAAATCAGTTGTCATTTGAATACATTTCACATCCCGTCCAAAATGTCATCTGTGTATGCCATCGCTCAATAAAAAAGCAATATTCTGTTGTCACATGACAAATGTGCCATGAATATTACTTGTTGTTTTTCGAATAATTAGTAAATGATTTCAGTATTCTCCGAGCACAGCATATTATGTGTTGCAAAAAGCTTGTGATCAAAATGTGCTCGGCAAATTTAGTCTATTGCTTATTTACGATACATTTTCTTTGTTTACTTAATTCGATACTTTTAGATCAAATTGTGTTTTGATTAAAGTCATGAGAAGTATAATCACGAAAAGTACATGTACAGTACTTGAAATGCACGCTAATTCCCTTCCAACACAAACGTCCTAATAATGATAAGGTGAACATGTTAGGGACAGCCTCTCAGGAATTGTCTATATTTGGATATCCTAACAGACCCATATCAAATCTGCTTCACCATAACTAGTTATTTTCCTTATCCTCATTAAGGATTGATTTTGTTTCTTGGATAGACTACGGTTAACATAGCGGTTATCTTTTGATGAAGCCGCTTACCATTCCGGAACACCTGGTCTTATTGTCTTTATACTGTATATCTATTTAAAAAAATTCCATTTGTCCATCAAGATTGTTTTTGAACAAATGTTCCGATAAAATATCGATATTTTCTTTGTTTTTCACTCTACTAGAGCAATATCAACAGATTGTCAACCAAACAGTGAGGAAGGAAATTGATCAAATAGGTGACAATATATACAGACTGAAATCAGTTGTCATTTGAATACATTTCACATCCCGTCCAAAATGTCATCTGTGTAACCGACATGCCATCGCTCAATAAAAAAGCAATATTCTGTTGTCACATGACAAATGTGCCATGAATATTACTTGTTGTTTTTCGAATAATTAGTAAATGATTTCAGTATTCTCCGAGCACAGCATATTATGTGTTGCAAAAAGCTTGTGATCAAAATGTTAATTGTCAGTTACCTTTTGATACAATGCGCGTGTGTTCAGCGCTATTTGTGGCATTCAATGAGAGACTTGACCGCCTCCAGATGACGATGACGATGAAGATGTAGCAGAAAGCAATGATAAGAGCTGGGATAATCAGGAGCAGGGTTGCTATCAGCGTAATATATACCTGAAATAGGACAGCTGATTAAAGTATGTATCTCCTACAAGCAAAAAGATGATAATAACACCAAAATAATAACATATATTTGGGTGATGAATTTACGGTTACCAGTGATTCAAATCCGTTATAATGTAATATAGTGACCTGTCGTGGTGTCATATAAACACTGACGACAGTTAGTAATCCTTGTTGCTGGATGTTTATGAGTTAACAGCTTGTTTCAATGGTACCTTAGCACGAAAAACATATTAGGCACATCTGGAAATTCAGCTTTTAACAGAATAATGCACGATTAAATCGCTTCGTGTTTTATGTTGACATTTTGAAATTTCACAAATTATGCATAAAGAAAGTTCAAGTAATAAGAAAGTAAGGAGTTGATTTCAGGAATAAAGTTACAAATGAACATGTACATATGGTAATGTAGGATGTGAAATTAAAACATATCTCATGTTGTACTGCATGTTTAAAAATAATTTCATCATTTGCATTATCATACATATCCTAATCCGCACTCTGTCATAAGATCTGACAACATCTTATAAAGATTCATTTCTGGTGAAATTTTGCATCAGCCAATCAAAATACCGCTTACGAAATATTGAAAGTGAATGAGAGTGGGCGAAAACCTATTTGTATATTTCGTCATAACATGTCGAAAAAAGGTAGAACATGTCTATCTAATTGCGATGCTGATCCCTTCTCTCGCGCCTTCCTGAAGAGAAACGAACCTATGAATTTTAATTAGACTGATCTACATGTTGTAATGAAATGATTTGCTTTGATGTAATGATCAATTACACCATTCGCCCTGTGTTATGTACAGAGGGTGCAAAGTTCACCAGGTCATGACCCCTGGTGAGATGATGTCAAATCCTATACGGAGAGAGACACAGCTAGAATGATGATCTGTATTGCAATGACATTGATAATTTTAAAGAATTATGAAAGAACACAAATGTGAAAAGCATGTCAAATCAAATCAAACTTAGTGGTTAAATCTTTGAATACGAAATAAATATATTGTTTAAACTAATTTAAACTTGATGGCCTTCCTACTGACTATTACTGTACAAAAGGCACTCTAGTGAATGGTTTCTTGTTCCTGCAGATTCAGAAGCAGATATCAAGAGAGCGAAATAATGAGTTCAGCTGTATCATACACATGTTCCATTATTCTAAGACACGTCAGTGATGGTTTGGGCCTAAACGGACGAAACAAAGAAGGTGTCTATCTTAAATAATAGTAAACATCCCCGAAAAAGAAATTGAACCATTACTGAATACGAAGTTTCTAAAAGGCGTACATGATCAACAGACGAGCTCACATGATCCAATGCAATATTCTAATTACAAGCCACTCATCAATGACCGGTATTATTGAAGTATTATTGAAAGGTTTATGTATGGCTTCCACTTTATCAAATAAATCTAGTTTTGAAGAGGAATAAGGAGAGTTAATGGCACTTGTATGCAATGATGAAGTAATTGGATACGTTGTCTGAAGATTCGTGCCCGTAAATATTAATAAATGAAATGTTTAGAGGACGTGTGCTCATAATGACTAGAAAATGGCATGGCTATTTTGGCTTCGGGAGATTCAATCAGCAAATCCATTTTCAATCAATTAAGTGTTAAGATTTTATGTTATTTGGAAAGAAATTTGAAAATGAATACAGCTGTTTGCGTGTAGTTCATTAGCAGCAATTTTTATTTTTTATCTTTTAATAAGAAAAAAACCTACGCACGTTAGTCACTTTAAATGCGAGCATGAAAGGTAACCGTATTTCCCTTTTCGTATTGTGAATGGCAGAATCAATACACAAATAAAGTACCGTCGGCATCAAACTGATTGAATCGTTAATGTGTTGGGTTTTTTTGTCCGAAACCATCCTCAAAGAGCAAATTACATTAAATGTAAATTATCAAGAATGTGCTATGTCTTTAACTGATGTAGTGAATTGGTGATGGAAATGAACGATATTTTGACATTAAACCTTATTATCATTAACTTTGTAAAGAGATTCTCAGAACGTTTGATAGGATAAATGTTCAAGACTTGTCATAAATGAAAGCACTGAAAGCACGTCGGGCGAACGAACGAACGTCCGTTGGTGAGACAACTCCTAGAAATAGGAAGAGTCAAAATGTAACCTACCGACCGACCAACCAACCCACCAACCAAATAAATAAATAAAATTAAATACAAATGATAGGAAGAATATGCTCTTTCTACGGTATATGATCGGGGTTGTAAGTGTTTGACTCATGATATAGAAATACTTCAGAACAAGGCAATACCAAAATTTGAACATGCTTACGATTCAAGTTAACATAAAACTATCAAAATATGAATAATAAAACTACATTCGACATATACTAAAGTATGAGGAGAATCAAAAGGGTATTCCGCAAGGTTTAGCGTGACGTAATACTTCTAATTTGATTTAGCATAAAATTAACTGTTTGAATCATTTGAGAATTACAAGACTTATCTGGAAAATCATCTATAAAGTAATAAACATCATTGTCGAATTTACTTTCTTATTTTTTTTTATTAAATCATAATAAATCAATATGAATAATATCAATAATAATTTAAACTTTCCAATATCTATAATTAATTTTATTTTTGTTCTAAGATTTTAAAAGCAAAGGAAAAAATGCCAACATGTGTTATTCCGAAATCAATCACTGAAGAAGGTTGTGAATTTTCTCTTATTATCTTATTAGTACGCGTCCCTATCTAGTTTCTGTCACTTGTTTTGACATGCTTGGATTTTCCTCGGGCGTCTTCTAGTTCTCCATTAATAAGACAATTGGCATCACAAGGGATGAAGCAGCTTTGTGATGCAGTTCAATTTATTTCTGGCGCCACTGTCTTTAGTTTTAAAATTGTATTGAAACATGCTTTACATTTCTGTCTTCTGTGCAATATTTTTGTTCATCATATGTTCTTTTTTTACATGAAACATTTCAAAAATACTTGTGCATATTTTAATGCATATCTTCGACACGTTTCATCAAAGGTGTATATTCTCTTGTGTCACATTAGGCCACGCAGGGCCAGTTAAACACAAAAAGAAACGACAGCACCGTCAACACCATTGTGTTTAGTTGTAACACCTTCCCAGAAAGGTTTTAACTTGGAGATGCTTGTTTTTAATCTAAAAAACAAAATTGCAGACAAATTGTTTCCGCACTATGGACAAATTCACATCGTTAATCTGATCTCGAGAAGCCGTAAGATAAAAGCCATGGCTTTTTGCGGAAGAATCTTTCAATAACCTTCACATAAACACCATCGGCAACTGAGGTGCTATGTGGAACAGATCACAATGTTCATATGAACAGGTCGAAATTGGCTGCTCACTGACAGTAATTGTCCTGTAATGACAGACGGCGTAGAGATCAAACACTTTGGTGACTTGTCACACATTGGCAGAATGATACAGGGAAAATGTCAAAACCCTTCCTTTAGCTCATAAAAACATTTAATTACCTAAAAAGAGTCTTCAGAATAAGACCTCCTAGGGATAATTAGGCAATGAATTCAACCAGCATATGAATGATTACCTACCAATTCAAACTAGCTAGAGTTCTAGCACAATTATTTTAACACTGCTGTAAAGATCTACTGCGAACTATCAACAAATTCATTCCCTCTTATGGTCGGCTTCAATATTTATATACTGTTTAATTTAATAACCATATAATCTTTTTTTTTCTTTTTAGAAAATTTAAGACAAATAAAGTCTTACATTGTGTTATTTTCAATTTCTTTAAATCAATATTATACATAGATTTGGACTGGTCCATGGCTTTGAATTGGGATGAAATCAGCAATGTTCTGACATTTAGGTCACATCCATTCAATTGTCAATATCTTCAGCTTCCTATCGTCTCAGCTGTTCTATTTCTATCTCCTGATAGTGTTTATCACTAAAGCTAATGATACTTGTGACGTATCGACGTCATGAAATCAAGGTCAAAACAAACTGAATAAGTAAAACAGCCAATGGAAGGTTTACTGCTTAGATTGACAAGGACAAGGACATGACATGTTACAATGTCATCTTCAGTCTTTATTAATACTTTATAAGGTATAACCTTACTATACATTTAGAAAGTTCCTAAGTAAATTATCAAGCAATGTTCTTGAAGAGCTGAAAGGAAAAATTGTGTTTTACATGTAATGTTATCTCCGCCTGTATGTAACAGATTCCTGACTATGAGGGTCACAAATTTTGAAACAATATGTTTATTTGTTTTAGATTAACTGGTGTTCTGTTATTTTTGGTCATTTAAGGACGACTTCCGGTGTATATGAGGTGAGCCATGTGTTACATGGATATGATTGTGGAAGGCTGCTATATGTGCTCGTGTAAGCCTATGTAAATGTGGAACTGGAGCCGAAATTATAGCCCTACCACTCAGAAATGTATACTGTTGAAGGCAAGCAACAGGACAATCAATCCTGCCACACTGTTATACTGACGACGGACGAACCAGTCGTTCCACTAACAAAATGTTATGCTAGGAGTAGTAATCTAAAGCTATGCCTTGGCCAGATGTCAGAAACCTAAGCCATCTTAAATGCTTTCCAACGGTTAATACAAAATTATTCTATGACTTCCATTTCAAAACAATACTGAAATATCTTTTATCGTTCTAAGTTTAGAAGTTTTTTTTTTTTGCGTAATGAGGGAGAATTCGAAGTTGAAATGTTGGCATTTTTCAAGTATTTGAAAGGTTGTCTGTATACATTGACACTTAAATAAATTGTCTAGTCTATATATATATTGACTGTTAGATGAATTGACTAGTCTGTATACATTGACCTGTAAGATGAATTGTCTAGTCTGTATAAATTGACTCTCATATGATTGACTAGTCGGTATACATTACTGTTGAATGAGTAGAATAGTCTGTACTCATCGACCCTGAGACGAGTTGACTATGTTGTACGTGGATATTGACATTTAAATGAGATGACGACTCTGTATAGTTGATTCTAATAGTCTGTATGTAGACATAAGCACATATTAAAGATAAGTTTTCCCTCATTTTAAACTTTATGATACCGAGAAACATTATCTGCATTGTTGTCAAAAGGACGCCATTTTTCAGAATGTCACCTTTTTCTATGAATCATGTCCTGTTTAGCGACGGGCCGAATATCTATATCAATGCGCGTTAAAATATAGTTCAGCATTATTCTGAATTATTTGCATTTAATATGGTCATTACTCAAAACGGAAATACAAATATGTCAACATAATCATAATCCAAACTCAAATTTAGTAAAAATTTCATAAAACTAGGGCCAAATATGAACCGCAGAAAGATTAATATGGAGATTCCTGAAAAAGTACAAGAATACATTTGATATATTTGATATCCCTTCAGAAATGTTTTCTGTAAATACTACCCATGGATAAATATCAAGTGTCAATACACGTTCAAGGTAGTATTACCTAAGCAAACATACATCCAGCAATACATGAAATATTTTTTAGCGAAACATGCTTTTATCTTATATCAATCATTCTTGTTGCACCTGACTGACCAATATTACGTAAATAGAAATGAGAAAAATAGTGCCCATCAATGTTTATATCAAAATTTTCCTGACAAATTCGGTTAAAAATTCGTTGTCCATTTCATGAGCTCCGTAAGAAATATGGTCTTTTGTATGCTGCTGTTGTATAACTACTAAAATTCGACCCATTGCATATAAAATTGAACCGCCATTCAGGACCTACCTAAACAACATAAAACACAATGATTTTTTAATATTTATAACCAATGTAATAGATGTGTACCTTCCACATCCACGGCTCTGGTAGTTCCATCCAGCACTGGGGCATATGTCCATCCACAAGTTGAAGGTTGTAAGACAAAAGCATTGGGATGGAGAAAACAATAGCGCAGGACCAGTTCAATCCGATAAGTATACGGCATCTCCGGGCTGTACATAACAGAAAATAATATTTCTTTTGGTAAAAGTTTCAACATATTCAACAATCAGATATTATATAAAAGTTTTAAGACAAGTTCCCACGTAGAAAATAATAGAAGAGAAGAATGATTGGTTGAAAATGAAGAAAGTGTTTTACTAACAGAAACATGTCAGATCTTGTTGTTAGTGGCATAAGGCTATAGAAAAGAGTACGAGCTTTGTCACAGGCCTCAATCAGGTTATCTAGTAATAGCACGATAGGTGCAGTTTTCGCTAGAACTTTACAGGAGATGTATGTATAGAAGGAAATATTGTATTATCACTTCAGATATAATAATACCACTCAATAGGTTCCGGTAAATATTGCTGAAGGGATAAAAGAAAATATCTATATTTATCTATATTTACGATTTTATAACTGATATCTTTATTACCTACATTTCCAAAGATCTTAAATGTCTATCAGCATAAATGACAATCTTCCATGGTTGAAAATATCATTTCTGAACGTTAAAGCGGTTCGGGAAATAAATAAACAAGTAATAAGGGTCTTTCTGTACTTTTTGAATCATAATACGGCATTTATGCAGAAATCGGAATGAAAAGCTTATCTATGACGGAGTGTAAATGACTTTCCCTTTTTGATACTGTACAAAAGACATACAAGGAAATAAAACCATCTGATACAAATTTGAATATGATACTGTAGAGCCAAGCATTGAATTACACTGTATCATACAGTAATATCATCTTTCTAAGACTCGTCAGTGACGCAAAGAGCCTAAATATGAGGTTTAGAAGGCGACTGAGGAAATTCCATTGTCATCTAGACTAGTCCTATTATTCAGTAAGTTTTGTAAATTTTAATATCTGATAATTTCAGAAGAACGTCAAGTATATGTATATATTCTACCACTATCCGAATAAACATGTTCACGCAGTATGTTCACACTTCTGTTACCATTTCACCCCAACATAACAGCAAATGTAACATGGAGTGCATTTTCAAGTCACAGGTGATGAAACAATTTTTACATTATCACGAATTATGTAGAATATGCAATAGGTAAACTGGTTTGTTTTGAAATTCAAATTGCCACTTTAATATCAATATGTAAGCTAAAGTTTATTCACTTCAGCAACAATGCGTTAAGCTTGAGTCATGCAAAATCTGTTACTGCGCTAAGTGCACAATTCCAGTTTTGAATGTCATTAAAGCCACTAAGAATACTACCACTATGTCTGGATACAAGTTATGATTTAGACCCTAATACGTTAAAACTATGTTCTCTCTAAAACAAAGACAATATCAACCTGTCAGTAGAATAGTCAAGTTCAAATTAGTTGAAAAGGGGGAAAATGTGAAAAAGAGGGATACTTTTCACGAAAAATCTGAGAAAAAAAGAACGAGGAGAATAATACTAGGTGTTCCGGAAGAGTAACCGTCTTCTTCTTTATCTCGGAGACCCACAAATCAAAAAATGAACAATGTCATGTGCCATGTCTGTATCAATAATCATTTTTTGAATGAACCCGATCTGTATAGACATAAAATATTACAATATACGAGCACCAAATGTGTAAATGTATAATACACATGAAATATGCTAGAACCGTTTCCGGATGTTGGATATTGGTAGAAAATGGTTTTATTTTAAAACTATGCCCATAGAATATTAATATTTACAATATAGGAAATACATATACGGTTTATATGAGTTTATTGATAAGAATATGTTATTGTGCAGATATTTACGATTTCCCATTCAAAGCTAATTTCTATGACGAATTCGTCAACTGAAGCTGAATTAAAGAACTCATCGGCTAATTGTAACGTCTGTTGTCATGTAGAAGTTATCTTAGATTCTTTAGAATAAGGCTTTGGTTTTAAAATCTTTTGTAATTTTAATGAAAAGATATCATCTTTACATTTTTTAAAATGGAAAATATCTAACTTTTCATGAGTCAATCATTTGTATGTCCTAATATTTAAATTTTCTCAGTCTTTACTGTAAAATCATATATATTTTATGTATTTCCGTTGTTCCAGAAAGTCGGGATTTTCAAAAGAATAGTTTATTCTCCCACCTCTGCCCATGTAGGATAGGCATGTCCCATGTGGAACACCCATGGAGGATAAATCTCAGTCGGTTACCACAACTGACTCAAACCTACGAGTGGATGCTTTGTTTCCAGGTTCCGTAATGCGCGACTGTAACATCACAGTTAACATTAACTATAACAATCCCTGTCCAGTGAACACAAATAAACGTCGGAGGATCATCTATGACTCTGATTCTGAATGAACACACGCGTGACACTCACACCATTGCAATTTTTCGCGCGCATAAACAATTGACGTCATTATAAACTGGGAAATCTCCTTTTTGTCTATGACATCGCGGCAAGCCTACCCTACCTTAATAAATGATACGGAGTTAAATGTTGTTCAATACAAGTATTTCCACGTATCTGTCGCTAATTAAAATATCTAATTTCCAAAAAATAAATATTTTTAATGGTTATTCATATTGTGTTTGTAGTCTGTCATTTTGCTCTCGCGGAAAAATGTAGAATTTTGGAAACGTGAATGGTGATATTTATGCGCCATTCAGGTACTTGTACCGTGGGATTTTTTTTTACGTCGTGGTGGAAATAATGGGGTGGGAGAAAAATAATCAACCCCTATCCTCAGAGGATGTGACAGAGAAATCTCCAACCCTCGGGGTGATTTTTTTTTTGTAGTCTAACCCTCGGCAGAGCCTCGGGTTAGACAACAACAAAAATCACCCCTCGGGTTGGAGATTTCTCTATCACACCCTCAGGGTAGGGGAAGATTCTATTAGTATTTGTATTTTGAATAATGTTAGTATACATGAAAACGTTTCTGAAATGTGAATATTGTATATTTTGTCATATATTGTATCCTGACCACATAGAATATGAACTCTGTTAAATATATTAACAGGAAGATCAAAAGTATACTACTATCAGTATATGTTATGTGTGTAACGAAAATTTAAATACCATAAGCTCTGAGTAATTGATTATTCGAAAGCGTTGAAAATATTCACTAAAGCTGTATTGCTTTTGTTACATAATATTCAATCTAAGCTACTTTAAGGTGACGAAGCTTGAACAGTGATAAATCTAGCATTAAAAAAACAACAAAGAAATTGTTTGGAATTGCCATGCATTTATTCATGTCTTTTGACTTTCAAATGGGACATTAATCCATTTGCTATAAAATTGAGAAATGGTGTTCCGTTTTTTTTTTTTTTTTTTTAAAACTTCAGACATGTTTTCGAAATCATCACATTTTAGTATGAAAAAGGATTATAGACTTAAGCTAACCGAGAACAACATTTATCGTTCACCGTATTTAACACTTTATGTGCTATAATGAAAATGCAACCGCATGATTACTCCTTGTATGGATACCATACAATAATGAGTTTCACGTCAAATAAATCCGGTTCGTGAAACTGTCAGAGCATATGTTAAGAGAGATCTGTGATTTTCTGGTCGACTTTATTGACTTTGAAAATCGTAATCACAGGCAATCCTCGCTTCAATAATTTCTGACATGACGAAATATTGCTAGAAAGAAAATTGTGGCTGATTCACTTGAGACAAAAGCTATTTAGAACAAACGCGACCATTCACTTTTGATGCTCTAGAATTTAATAGTGCTTTAGGTTGTGGTGTGTTTTTATTTATGTTTGTAAGCTGCGATTGTAGGAAATAACACTAAACATTGTAACATCCGGGCAATACATCAGTTTGACTGGGCCTTGCAAAGCAATTGAGTGTTATACTGAGAAGATTCCTTTGCTTTTGAATATTATGCATATCTTTAATGTCAGGATAAATACAACCGTGGAAGAAAGCTTTTATTGGTGCTCATAATCTATGCTGTCGATGAAAAGCTGACCGTTTACTGCATCGGATTCTTGCAACCGCGGAAAGCATGCAAATGGAAAGCAAAGCGTAGATAAATATTTAAAGATCATCCACCATAAGTTCCCGTAGCCATGATGGTCCCGCGTCAAGATGGCTAACGCTGTTAATAGTAACAAATCAAATACCCCCCCCCCCCCCCCCCCCAAAAAAAAAAAAAAATATTGTTCGGAATCACAGGCGTTTTCCAATAGCTTTTGACATTTTAAATGAAATAAGAACCCATTTGTTATATGACTGAGTCATGGGTCTTAAGCATTTGTAAAACACTGGAACTGAGTTCCAAATAATCACATTTTAACATGGAAAAGCTAGTCAGTCAGGTGTCGTCAGTCGCTCGCCGTATTGAACGCTCTAAAAGTATTGCCATGAAAATACAAGCAGAGTAATTAATTTCACGTTAAACAAGTCCAAAGTCGCGAAACAGTCATTACGTATGTCAATGAAGATATGTGATTTTGCGGTCGGTTTGATGAATTTGGAATAGCGTAATCGCGCGCAATTCTCACATCCGACCTGATGAAATATTACGTGAATTGAAAGAGCGTTAGGGAAGAGCTAATTAGGGAGAATCCTATCACCCACCTGTGGGTGCATTTGAATTTATTTGTGCTGTAGGCTGTGTTTTGTTAAGATTTATGTTTGTAAGCTGCGAATGCCATTACACCAAATGCGCTAACATCCTGATAACAAATCAGGTTGACTCAACCTAGCTAAATGATTGACAGTACGGAAATTCCAATACCATTTTTGTTGTTCCATTGCAAGTTAGAGTAACATAATTACTCTTTTGCTGTTGCATATATACATTAAATATTTTTTACCACGAATGAAGAAAAATTTTATATTGTGTTGACGCACATATTCTGTTCTGTCGATATAAAAATGTTTCGAATTAAAAATGATTTAGAGCTGGCATTTTACTGAGAAGCCTTTCTGCACTTAAATGGTAAAGATGGTGAACAACGCTAAGGTAAATATTTAAATAAAACACGTTCCCTTTCTTGGGTGTTATCTGTCTAGAACACTTTAGTCGCAAACCCTCTCCCTCCAGCATCACTGATGAGCCCGAGAATGTTGAAACAGGTGTATATACGAAACAGGTGTTATATGTTTGTTTTCATTCATTGTAATCCTTCAAAAAAGGACATACTCTGGTACCAGAAACAACAATTAAGGATATCATTGAACCCTTTTAGATATGATTAACACTGTACCAAAAGGGGTCGTAGTTTCACTTTTACTTTTGGATTTTAAAACAAGAATGTCTAGGTCGTATAAAAATAATCCGAACCATAATGTCGCCGTCTGAAGGGCCAGGTCGCCCTAAGTCTTTTGAAAATGACGTTTCGCCTTTAAAAGTTAATCATTAGTTTATCGATATTTCTGTTATTACAGCTGACCTGCATTGATGTTTTGCTGAAAATGTTTATATTCACATATTTCTATTGAGTGTAAATACACCCGCGTCCCTTAACATTGATTACTTTATAGATTATTTTTCTATAACAGTCTGACATTATAACTTTCACTAATAAGACTCAGTGTGTTGTATGGGTTGGGGGTTTTCCTTGCATGTTGTTTATTTTCAAGCCATAAAAATATTTACTAAATAAACATCTAATGAGATATGATTACAAACCTGCAGCAATCACTCTCCTACTTCAACAGATTATAACCAATCGATGATACAAATGCCAGGAAACTGTCAATTATGGAATGATCAAAAGGATATAGTAACAACTAATTTAAAAGTGCTGAAACTAATACCACTTATAAATTCATTCAAATATTGACTTAGAACATACACATGTACTTGACGGTCTACTAAAATGGTCAGAAATATGAAATTCACGAAACTTATAGAATTATTTGACTGCTACACCTCTTCATATATATTTGAATTTCTTTCGATCGCTAAATACCTCCTAGGTTTAAAATGTATGCGTTTAGCATCACCGACGAGTCCTAGAAGTACGAAACAGCTGTATGATGCTGTTTAATTCATTGTTTGGCACTTCTGTATCTAACTCTTTGTATTAAATGGTGTTATTTATTTATGTTTTTTGTACAATCATCTAATCACATTGAAATACACAAATCTTGAATTACGATGTTATAAAGAAACTTTCACAGGAAATGGGGTTAGTTTACGAGATGAGTCGTGCCTCTCCGTCGGAGAAATCTTCAACGAGACAATTCCCTGTAGAAATCATTCAGCATTTATCTGAACCACATGGCTTTAACACTATATTTCAGTCTTAATATCTAATAATATCTATCATTTTTGATAATTCTCCTGTCAAAGGGCAAATTAACGAAGCAATTTCAAATGCATTACAACCGATTGAGCTGCTAAACAATTTCCAGCTGTCACGGCTCAATCTTGTGTACGTATGATAGAATTGTGAGAGTTGCACAGTTACTGATGCTGGGGTCATAAAATCACACATGTATTCGCTATTCAGGTTAAATATTAGACAGCATTCTATGATGCTGCGAAATCTTTAATTCAGGACCTGTATAAAAATTCACTAATAATGATATTATATCAAACCGTGATATTGCCAACTTTTAATGCCCTGCCTATTGGATTACACCTTGGTAGTGACTTACGTACTTTTGCCTCTCATACTCATCGGCCTTGCTATGGCGTCAAGACGGTCGATGCTGAGTGCTACCAGCGCATATGTCGAACCATAAGTACCAACTGCCTGGATAAACTTAATGAGCTTACATCCTATGTGTCCAGCGTACCACTGGATAGTTAGCTTCCAAATTATGTCTGTCAGCACGGAGAAAAATGCTACCAGCAGATCTGAAACAGAACAATCAAAATTAGACCACATTTATCAGTATAACTATGTTGCAAATATATCTATTTTTTAAAATCAAATTTTCTAAATTTTGGGAGAATTTGTTAACTTGTCATTCAGTATGTGGACATATTGCTAAGATATACGGAGAGTGAGTTTTAAGTAGTGTGAAACAAATATCACTTAGAAAGGATGATTAGGCCCACTCTATCAACGACGTCTAACGCATTGTTAATTGCTCAGCAACTGCCTAATAGACTATAGCATTTGACCTTGAGTATCCTTGAAATCAAGGTCAATTGTAAACTGCCATAATGCATATGAGATATATCAAGCGAATTATTTATCTAAAAATTTTATTCTGAGGCATAATTAACATTGTACAATGTCAAGTATTAACATAAAAAAGTTGAGGCAGAACAGCAGCTGGCTGCTACCGTGCTGATAAATCCGTTTCTCATCTTTCTGAGAAAAAATAAATTGCCACGGGTAGGGAGCGTCGAACCAAGCACAATGGACCTTCAGCTGAAGTTACGTAAGCAGCACAGTCTTCTTAATATTCTTTTAAAATATTCAAATTTAAAATTAGAAATGACTATTTTTCCAAAAATGATCGAGTATTTGCAGCTACCTTCATTTTTGACATATATATATATATATATATATTTTTTTGATATTTGCTACGTTTTGATTTCCACGCTCGAACTGATTCGTGGATTTACACTACAGGTCTTACTCATTCTTTATCAAAAGATACTAGTACTTATATTAAATGTCATCTCCATTTATTTTGTGTTTTAGGGCTATGAACTTTCGACACTACTAGTGTCTATACTGTCTAAAGAGATATTTGCAAAATCGGAAAAGCCTGCTAAAAGTCCCAATAGAGCTCCAAGCATCGGAATAAATCTGAAAAAAAACGATGCTTACGAGAGCGAATAAAACATCTGATGGATATGTGAACTCTCACTGGGAAATTAAAAGGGACAAATTGTTCCGTAATAGATCCCTAATGACCATCTGGCGACACATACTTCGTAATTTCTTCTCATAAAATTTGTTTCGTTTACGGTACTGGAAGTCTTATTAATTAATATGTTGCTTTTGAAATACTTTAAGAGATGCAACACTACTGGTTATGTGGGTACAGCGTAGAGTGGAACTATTTTAGGACATCTGCTAGCTTACTTTCAAAATATTCTCTCTTAAATGGTTTAATCTTTGCTAGAAAAATTGAAGTCCCATGCTGGTATGAAAATAACTGATTTGCAAGCTAAAGGAATGCACATTCGTGATACACTATGTGTTCTTTCATAGCACCATGGAACTAGAATTATATTTCTAACAAAACATATCGTTTATTCATTAGAATATATACACATATCAATTTGATGATTTAACGAAGGATTATTTTGATACATCACTACGAGTAAGAACTTCCGTGACATGACGTGACAAAACGTGACGTCATTGACGGTTCATTGGCGCCACTTTCAGTTCCATCACCTTCCAAACGGAAATGTAAAGTGTTAGACATTGGTTCTGTGAGCATACGTAATGGGCAGTTTGTATACTTCTTTAGTCGGAAAAAGCGTTAATGGATAATACGTTTTAGCGATTGGGGACAGTGGACAATGAGAGAAAAAAATGGTCAGAACTCTTCGGCAACCTTGATAAGGATAAAATGAAATATGGTGCGATATTGAAGCCATTTTGTTCATTTACAACTACATTAATTTCTACAGGATATCATGGGTTATGTCCCCTTATCGCTAGTCGAGTCGTGGACATGTGAGCGCACAGGTAGAATGGGATCAGTCATGGATGAGTGATTTTATCAGACTTAGACTCGGAGACTCGTGCAATCATGGATATATAAGTATCTGTTGTAGCCAACATAGATGTTACACACTTTGTAGTCCGTGCTACATCCATGCTCAAATTTACAAACAAAAATACCCACTTTCAATGATTATTATAAAATAACAGAGTGTTGCATAAAAAAGATCACATTTTATTATATGAGTGCACATGGTTAGTTATTTCGAACGACGTGCTAGTAAGATCGAAACCGTCTTGAAATTGAATGATATTTTTTCAAAAAATTAAATTTTTCTGATAAAACAGGTCATCATGAGATAATTAATTTCACTTTAATGAAAACGATGTGGCATTACTATGATGGATCTGGCACTGAACATTACAACTAGCTGTTTAGAAAAATACCATGTGATCTTCCGTCAAAAAAAAATCCCTATAGGTACAGTTCAGTCCAAAAACTTTGCAGCTGAGAACATGGATCTTACCACTGTGGTACCGTTACGTTATTCGTTGTAGGCATATTTATTGTAGAGTTTTAAATGTTTAGATTTCTTTGGAAAAATGGAACTTGAACTCTGTGTGCTTCTTAAACTTATTATTATTTATGCTAATAGAATTTACACTGGAAGTTGAACACAAGGAACAATCGTCCAGTGTCTTCTGATCACCTTTGGATTTTCCTTAGTCGCCTGTTGGATTTCAAAGTTCTTACCCCTAAAGGGCGAAACTGTTGCAAGGTACAGTTTATTTGGCTCTACTGTATCTAGCTGTCCTATAAAAGAACATAGTGACGGTTGAAGGCTTCCTTTTGGGAGGAGAGAAACGCCCACCATCCACCCTTTTGTGAATTTCTTATATCCGGCCCATAAAGTCGGCTGTGTGAGTAAACACTCATTTGCATATATAGTAAAAGGTTTCGCTCAAAATCCAATGCAACTAATAAAACCAACCTGTCGAAAGGTATTCCTGGTTAAATAACAAATTACGCAGCAATATTTTCACGATAAAAATGAAATATGGTGCGATATTGAAGCCATTTTGTTCATTTACAACTACATTAATTTCTACGGGATATCATGGGTTATGTCCCCTTATCGCTAGTCGAGTCGTGGACATGTGAGCGCACAGGTAGAATGGGATCAGTCATGGATGAGTGATTTTATCAGACTTAGACTCGGAGACTCGTGCAATCATGGATATATAAGTATCTGTTGTAGCCAACATAGATGTTACACACTTTGTAGTCCGTGCTACATCCATGCTCAAATTTACAAACAAAAATACCCACTTTCAATGATTATTATAAAATAACAGAGTGTTGCATAAAAAGATCACATGTTATTATATGAGTGCACATGGTTAGTTATTTCGAACGACGTGCTAGTAAGATCGAAACCGTCTTGAAATTGAATGATATTTTTTCAAAAAATTAAATTTTTCTGATAAAACAGGTCATCATGAGATAATTAATTTCACTTTAATGAAAACGATGTAGCATTACTATGATGGATCTGGCACTGAACATTACAACTAGCTGTTTAGAAAAATACCATGTGATCTTCCGTCAAAAAAAAAATCCCTATAGGTACAATTCAGTCCAAAAACTTTGCAGCTGAGAACATGGATCTTACCACTGTGGTACCGTTACGTTATTCGTTGTAGGCATATTTATTGTAGAGTTTTAAATGTTTATATTTCTTTGGAAAAATGGAACTTGAACCCTGTGTGCTTCTTAAACTTATTATTATTTATGCTAATAGAATTTACACTGGAAGTTGAACACAAGGAACAATCGTCCAGTGTCTTCTGATCACCTTTGGATTTTCCTTAGTCGCCTGTTGGATTTCAAAGTTCTTACCCCTAAAGGGCGAAACTGTTGCAAGGTACAGTTTATTTGGCTCTACTGTATCTAGCTGTCCTATAAAAGAACATAGTGACGGTTGAAGGCTTCCTTTTGGGAGGAGAGAAACGCCCACCATCCACCCTTTTGTGAATTTCTTATATCCGGCCCATAAAGTCGGCTGTGTGAGTAAACACTCATTTGCATATATAGTAAAAGGTTTCGCTCAAAATCCAATGCAACTAATAAAACCAACCTGTCGAAAGGTATTCCTGGTTAAATAACAAATTACGCAGCAATATTTTCACGATAAAAATGAAATATGGTGCGATATTGAAGCCATTTTGTTCATTTACAACTACATTAATTTCTACAGGATATCATGGGTTATGTCCCCTTATCGCTAGTCGAGTCGTGGACATGTGAGCGCACAGGTAGAATGGGATCAGTCATGGATGAGTGATTTTATCAGACTTAGACTCGGAGACTCGTGCAATCATGGATATATAAGTATCTGTTGTAGCCAACATAGATGTTACACACTTTGTAGTCCGTGCTACATCCATGCTCAAATTTACAAACAAAAATACCCACTTTCAATGATTATTATAAAATAACAGAGTGTTGCATAAAAAGATCACATGTTATTATATGAGTGCACATGGTTAGTTATTTCGAACGACGTGCTAGTAAGATCGAAACCGTCTTGAAATTGAATGATATTTTTTCAAAAAATTAAATTTTTCTGATAAAACAGGTCATCATGAGATAATTAATTTCACTTTAATGAAAACGATGTAGCATTACTATGATGGATCTGGCACTGAACATTACAACTAGCTGTTTAGAAAAATACCATGTGATCTTCCGTCAAAAAAAAAAATCCCTATAGGTACAATTCAGTCCAAAAACTTTGCAGCTGAGAACATGGATCTTACCACTGTGGTACCGTTACGTTATTCGTTGTAGGCATATTTATTGTAGAGTTTTAAATGTTTATATTTCTTTGGAAAAATGGAACTTGAACCCTGTGTGCTTCTTAAACTTATTATTATTTATGCTAATAGAATTTACACTGGAAGTTGAACACAAGGAACAATCGTCCAGTGTCTTCTGATCACCTTTGGATTTTCCTTAGTCGCCTGTTGGATTTCAAAGTTCTTACCCCTAAAGGGCGAAACTGTTGCAAGGTACAGTTTATTTGGCTCTACTGTATCTAGCTGTCCTATAAAAGAACATAGTGACGGTTGAAGGCTTCCTTTTGGGAGGAGAGAAACGCCCACCATCCACCCTTTTGTGAATTTCTTATATCCGGCCCATAAAGTCGGCTGTGTGAGTAAA